AGTAATGTTGGCCACTCAGTTCTACTTTTTTACCCTTAAGATTCTTTCCCATTTATCAAATTTTATATGATTTCAAATTATCTCGTTTGATATCTTTATTTTTTCCAGCTATTTGTGAATATAGGACTTTACCAAGTACAAGTTTAAAAGAAGTATTACACTTTTCCCTCCTCAAAGTCTAAGACTCCATTTTCTCACCTTGGAAGTATCCCTCTTGCAATCCGATTTGTCATTCACTGTGCAATGCTACTGTTCCATCTACCGTGAAAATTGGAAATATTGGCGTGCTCTTTGTTACTGCTTGACCTTTACTTCTCGTATCTAATCAGTGGCCATTGTTTTTCATTTTTCTTTAGGTATTCCTAGCTAGATTACCTAATCAAGTGCCCAGCCATTCTAGGGTTTGACTTCCCTTGCTTTAGGCACTAATTTCCCATGTCAGTCATGTATTCTCATGTCAAAATAATTTTTCTTGCTTTTATTTTGTTCCCTCAGCACCTGCCACACTAAAACCAAGCTCTGAATTTTTCTCTCTATTGGACTTTATTTTGGCATTCTTTTTTTATTACCCCCATTATTATTGTGATGTGTATTTGTTATAACCTGTACCCTTAAGTCTAATATAAAAGAACTTCATTTTAAGTGTGTTCTTGATTCTTTGTCCATATTTATCCCTGCCCAAATTGTTAAAGGGCTACTGTATCTGACTTGAAACATTACAATTGAAAGGGATTTGGAGAATTTGACTGTTGCTCCTTACAGGGAATTATTAGGATACAAAGTTTAAAGAATTTAGATTATCTAACCAGGAGGCAAAAAAAGTAAGTTATATTTATTGTCTGATGAGTGTTACCAGTTTATAGAGATACTTAAAGAATCAGACCAGAGGTTATCGGCATTTAAGTTGGATAGTTTGAATAAATTGAAAGAAAGGACAAATGATAATACATGTAACTGTGTACTATGTTTCCGCATCGCTTAGTTTGCAAATATTTTACTGTTGATGGAGTAAAGTAAGGATAGGATTTATTGTTTACTCTGATTACATACCTTGGACAGTGCCTAGAAGTCCACCTAGCTGTGTAATGGGAGTCTGCCTATTTTGACTTCCTAATCAGGTAATTAAAAGTGAGGCTGGGGCGCCTGGGTGGCTCAGTTGGTTGAGCATCCGGCTTTGGCTCAGGTCATGATCTCGCAGTCCCTGAGTTCGAGCCCCGCGTCGGGCTCTGTACTGACATCTCGGAGCCTGGAGCCTGCTTCTTGTTCTGTGTTTCCCTCTCTGTGCCCCTCCCCTGCTCATGCTCTCCCTCTCTCTCGCCCTCTCAAAAATAAATAAATATTTTTTTTAAAATTTAAAAAAAATTGAGGCAATCAGAATTATATACTAGCTTATCTTTCAATATGCTTTTGTCAATTTCTAGCATATAGAAAAAAATATATATCTTTCTCTTCATTTCTGTATGCTCAGACCAAAAGATGCTGAGGGTTTTTGTTAGCAGTGATGTTTTAGGAGCATTGTTTTTTAAAACCTGGGAGATACTACTAAGCACATATATGTTCCTTGTAAAGTATTAGTTATAAGTCTTAATGGAGATAGGAGGTTAAATTTGATGACTTCTTAATATTCTTTCAAACCTGTAATTTCCATTCCATTTCCTGGTCCTGTTATTAAATTTTCTTATCCTAATGAACATAATTTAATATTTATTACAGATTTTATTACTGTCACACTGGTAATATATAAACTGTGTGTTAAATATGAAGTGGGTTAACTCTTTGTAATGTGGAGCGTAAATGAACACATTGTTACTAAATCAGAGAGTTCTTTCAGAATTAATCATTGAATCAAGAATTACTTGTTCAGTGAATAATTATAAGATAAGAAATGCTACTTTATTATGGCGATTGTAGATGAAAGAGTGACTTCTTTGGGTATACATTTCTTTTGGGAATGGTAAAACCATGTTATAAATTGTCCATACAGAAATGGTGAATAACATTCTATCTTCTTGCTTGTTTTAATTATTTTTAAAATGTTTCTCTGTGCAGTCTTAAGGTATTTCACAATTCCATTTATTTACATTTGTTAATTTGACTACATGTATCCATTTTAATAAGTATGAAGTTAATATAGTTTTAATGATTGCTAAAATTTGGAATTTCATAATCTGGATAAAATAACATTCCAATTAAGTTATAACTTAATTCAAAATTTAATTTATTCTAGTACTTCACCTTCTGCCCCATTTTATAAATAACAGCCTAAATACCCTAAACCACAATGTGGATAGGGGAAGACCTTTTGGTTGACAGTTTAGCTGTTGTGTAATCTAGATGTACATTGAAGCTATTGCTGTTAATATCTACACTAATAGTGTTAATAGAGTTTTATTATTAAGGAGGCACAATGGAATTCTGAACAAAAGAAAAAGAAGTTTGTTGGATTAATAGCTGCTACCCTGTCTTTTTTTTTTTTTTTTCAACGTTTATTTATTTTTGGGACAGAGAGAGACAGAGCATGAACGGGGGAGGGGCAGAGAGAGAGGGAGACAAGAATCGGAAACAGGCTCCAGGCTCTGAGCCATCAGCCCAGAGTCTGACGCGGGGCTCGAACTCATGGACCGGGAGATCGTGACCTGGCTGAAGTCGGACGCTTAACCGACTGCGCCACCCAGGCGCCCCGAGCTACCCTGTCTTTTCATCATTTCTTAAGACACTTTCTTTTGCTGGCCAAGGGAAGGATAAGAGGAATAATATTTTGTGTTTTTTATGTGTCAAACTGGTTATTAATATGAAAACATCATTTCCTCTGGGAAGCTTGTCAGTATTCCCAAAGCTAGTCCTTTCCACCTTCTACCTTCTTCCTCCTCAGGAATCCTTACTGCTCTGTTTCCTACTAACCTCTCTCAAACCATACTTGATTAACAAAGCAGTGGGTATGTGTGATTTAGAGTCTAGTTTATGTTATAGTTGAAATATTTATTCATTTATTTTTAAAAGTTTATTTTTGAGAGAGACAGAGACAGCCTGAATGGGGGAGGGGCAGAGAGAGAGGGAGAGAGAGAATCCCAAGCAGGCTCTGCACTCTTCAGCACAGAGCCCAATGCAGGGGTCAGACTCATAACCGACAGAGCCACCCAGGCATCCCTAGTTGAAATATTTAAAAGGATGATGTGCAAAAGGAATTAGGCTTATTGGATGGAGAAGGGAAAAAATAGGTAGAAATGGAAAGATTATTCAAAGTATGGAACAACTTTCTTTTTTTTTTTCAACGTTTATTTATTTTTGGGACAGAGAGAGACAGAGCATGAACGGGCAAGGGGCAGAGAGAGAGGGAGACACAGAATCGGAAACAGGCTCCAGGCTCTGAGCCATCAGCCCAGAGCCCGACGCGGGGCTCGAACTCACGGACCGTGAGATCGTGACCTGGTTGAAGTCGGACGCTTAACCGACTGCGCCACCCAGGCGCCCCTGGAACAACTTTCTAAAAAGACTATTCAAAATTAGGATTAGCTGCCTTAAGACTTTTCCGGGAATGAGGTAGTAAAATGTTAGACTAATTTACCTATAGTGTTGTTTATAACATTGAGATTCCAGGACTTAATAATTGTGTTTGTGTGTGTGTGTGTGTGTGTGTGTGTTTATAAATTACATCTATTTATATATACACATACATATATCTTCTTTGTTTCTGTCAGTTGTTACCTTAGAAGTTATAGTTTATATCTGATGTTCTGTAGTTTCTCTGTGATAGATCTGGGTATGGGATTCATTTTTATTTATCCTGTTTAGGACTTAGTGTGCTTTATCAATCTGTCTTCAATTCTGAAAAATTCTCTTTATCACTGAAGATTTTGCCTTTACTTTTCTTTGTTTTTTCCATCTAGTACTATAATTAGACCTCTGTCAGAGCCTCTCATTTTGTCTTCCTGTTCTCTGAACTGCTCTTCAGTGTTTTTTTGTCTATTTAATCTGTTTGTGAATGTCAGGATAATTTCTTCAGATATCCTTCTAGTTCACTCATTCTCTCTTTAGCTTATCTGCTGTAGTTTTTAACCAGTACATTGAGTTATTACTACCAATGTTCATAACAGTACTTTAGTAGTAGCAAAAAATCCAAAAATTACAATCCAAATGCCCATCAGTAGCAGAATAAAAATATATTTGGTCCACAGCAGTAAAAATATGCAAACTGTAGTTATGCGCAACAAGATGAATCTCAGAAACATAATGTTAAGTAAAACCACATAAAACTAAATGATATGATTTTTAGGCCTATATAAGCATTGTACAAAAGTTATAAAGACAAGAAAGGAATAATGAACAAAATTCAGTTTAGAGATCACCCTAGAGGGGAAAGGAAGATGTGATGGGTTAGATTGAGGCACCCAGGAGACTTCAAAGGCAGTGATAATATTGTTGTTTTTCTTAAATTGGGTGGTGTTATATAAATGTTATGTTATTCTACTATACACATATTTTCTAAATTTCTTTTGTACTTAATAGTAATAAAAACATCTTAAAGATCTTAAAAAGTAAAAATAGAATATGCTCTGAGAACAAAGGAATACAAATATAATCTAATGATCAGCACAAATATAGTGAAGACATAAATTTAAAGTTTGATTTGACTTGTTCAAATAATTACCAATTTTTCATTTAACTTGTTACAATAGCAATTTTTAAAAGCTTGAAGTATCATAATTTTGTTTTTAGATACTCTAACACATTCTTCTAAATTTGTGTATAAATAGAAAATAATACATAAAATTATCGTATTTTAGGACGATTTAAAAAATTAAAGTACAGGCCTCAGATGAATCTCATCTATTCATTCACATCCTTATTTAGAAGCTGTGTGATGACAGTTAAGCCCTCTGCTGTTTTTCTCCCATGATTGACGTGACAGCAGTCTGTGTGATTATGTACGGCTTGGAATTACTTTAGGTTATTGTTTGAAAATAGGACTTCAAGCAAAGCATCTTGTATTCCTTTTGCAGAAATGTTGCTGAAGTGCTGCTGAAAGGGCCAAAGATGCAAGGATTTGGGACACATTTTGAACCTTTAAGCTGTCTGACATTGACCTCCTTTCATTATTAATAAAGAAGAAGCAGGAGCTTAGGATGTATTAACACCAAGTCATTAATATACTAACTGGACAATGTTCTGCAACAATTCTACATTGTAAAGAACTGGATTGGCTGAAAATAAAATAATTTCATATTTTACTCAGCTTATAATATGACTCGATGGAGGAAAATTTGATAAGCATGAGGGAAGACCATTCTTTTCATGTTCGTTACAGGTAAGACCACTACTTTCTTAGTGGGTGACTTTTAATCCTTATTAAACATGTATTTCACTCTGATCATTTCAAATTTAAATTTGAATATATTCAAAATATACTAGCTGTAGTTAGTATCTCCTATAAACTATATTTTCTTTTTGTTGTGGTAAGATTTTATATCCTTTCTATAGGAAAATAGTGGTAGAGATCAATTATATATTATCATTTATTAACATTTTTTGGAAGAATTTATGAGTAGTTACTTTATATTTTGTAACTTATAATACAGGTATAAAAATAAAATCTGTTTCTAAATGTTTGAGGTAAAAGCTGGATTTGTAATAGGACCATATGTGAATGACCTAATTTTTATGTTTCAGTTTTTGTTGGTGATCTTTTATAAGTGAACTTTTTAAAAAGTCAGTAACGGGGGGTGCCTGGGTGGCGCAGTCGGTTAAGCGTCCGACTTCAGCCAGGTCATGATCTCGCGGTCCGTGAGTTCGAGCCCCGCGTCAGGCTCTGGGCTGATGGCTCGGAGCCTGGAGCCTGTTTCCGATTCTGTGTCTCCCTCTCTCTCTGCCCCTCCCCCGTTCATGCTCTGTCTCTCTCTGTCTCAAAAATAAATAAAAAACGTTGAAAAAAATTTTAAAAAGTCAGTAACGGAATGGATGGGTACTTTCTTAACATGATAAACTAATAGGTTAATATTTAATGATAAAATATTAGTGACATTTCGGATACATTTAGGAGCAAAGCAATGATATCTTTTTTATTTTAAAATTTCTGTTTATTTATTTTTGAGAGGGAGAGAAAGAGAGCACAAAGTATGAGCAGGGGAGGGGCAGAGAGGTGGGGGGGGGGCGACAGAGGATCTGAAGCAGGCTCTGCAGTGTCAGCAGAGAGCCCAATGTGGGGCTCAAACTCATGAACTGTGAGATCATGACCTGAGCTGAAGGCAGATGCTTAACTGACTGAGCCACCCATGTGCCCCCATCATTATTTAACTTTTATTCTAGAAGTTCTGGTCATTGCACTAAACTATATAATGAACATAAACATAAATATTAGAATGAAAGGCATGTAACCATTAGTAAGGTGATTAGAATACTAATAGATTCTTTAACATAAATGTCATAAGCTAATAGTAAATAAAACTTGTAGCAGTGAGGATTATTCAGCATATCTAATAAGTTGAAGGTGTTGGTTGCCAAATCCTAGATATCTTTTTTTTTTTTTTAATTTTTTTTTTCAACGTTTATTTATTTTTGGGACAGAGAGAGACAGAGCATGAACGGGGGAGGGGCAGAGAGAGAGAGGGAGACACAGAATCGGAAACAGGCTCCAGGCTCTGGGCCATCAGCCCAGAGCCCGACGCGGGGCTCCAACCCACGAACCGTGAGATCGTGACCTGGCTGAAGTCGGACGCTTAACCGACTGCGCCACCCAGGCGCCCCGCCAAATCCTAGATATCTTAACACACATTTAAGAAATAGATGTATTGTACTTTGGAGCAGATTTGTGTTAGGGCATGGTGCCAAGGAAGTCTGTATAGTCTGTAATATGAGGGTATTTCTATTAAAAATAAAAAAGTTTTAGGGGCAGTTGGGTGGCTCAGTTGGTTAAGTGTCCGACTTCAGCTCAGATCATGATCTCACAGTTCGTGAGTTCAAGCCCCATGTCGGGATCTGTGCTGACAACACAGAGCCTGGAGCCCACTTTGAGTTCTGTGTCTCTCCCTCTCTCTCTGCCCCTCCCCTGCGCGCGCGCGGTCGCGCGCTCTCTCGCTCTCTCTCTCAAAAATAAACATTAAAAAAATTTATAAAAATAAAAAAGTTTTGAATAAAGAAATGGGGGACATTCAACATAATTAAAATGAGCTTTTAATATAACTCTACCCTTTTGGGCATGGTTCCAGAAGTTTGGGAGTTATCTTACATGCTTTTTTCCGCTTCTTATTCTCTGTATCCATTGTGAAGTCATGTCAGTTTTATCTCCTAAATGTTGCTCGGAATTATCTACCCCATCTGTATCCTCCCTATCACTGTTGTGGTTTAGGCCCCCTTCATCTTCCTCTAGACTCACTCCATTCTCCATTCTCACCTCTTAGAAGCCATCTTTTTAATTTGCCACTAGGGGGCTCACTCTAAAAACAGAGCTAAATGTGCAAATTCTGCTTAATCACTGGTGCCTCCTAGTCACCTGTAGGGCAGAGCCAAGCTTAACATAGTATACAATATCTTCCTTTTTCTAGCATCTGTGTATTCCTTTGTTCTTACTTTCTTCCAGTCCTAGCCTTGCACTTTGAGCTCTGGTTTCCTATACATGTCTTGCTGTTCCGTGTCTCTGTGCCTTTGCTCATGATGCACTCTATGACTTGAATTATCTACTCTTGGAAACCACTTCCAAATGCCATAGTTTGGCTATGTGCCCTCCGTTTGCTCCCATAACATCCTTTGCATATCTCTTTCTTTGCATCAACTATATTAAAATTCATTTGATCTGTTTATAAGTTTGTGTCCTCTTTGACCCCTCCCTTTGACCATTAACTTCCTTAGGGCAGCCATGATGCTAAGCATGTTATCTGACTCATAGTGCACGTGTGATGGAATGTATATTGAACTTCACTGGACATAACTATCAGTTGAACCTAGTAAGTAAGATTTCATCTTGCTAAACATTTTCAAGAGTGGTATACTTCTTAATACTGTGTAAGAGCAGCAGGTAAGGAGGAGTGGATTATACATCTACCTATGGGAAAGTTAGATTTGTCCTTTTTCTATGATATAGCATAGGTCAGACATAGTTGTGTATTGGTATAGGACTTCACCAAATGAAACTTTAAACACTGTAACTATTTTTAGTAAGAATATGCCATGGGGGACTTGGGTGGCTCAGCCAGTTAAACATCCAACTTGATCTCAGCTCAGGTCTTAATCCCAAGGTCATGAGATTAGGCTTAAACAAAAACAGAAACAAACAAAAAACCAAATCCCAATATGCCAAACAAAGCTTTAGCTTCTTCAGTGCTTTAGGATCAGCGTTCTGTATATTGATATATATTCTGTATATTGGATTATTGTATAATTGCAGGTAATACTTTTTATCCTTTATGTTAGGACTCATGGCCTGGTATAAGTTATTACTCTGCTCTGGTAAACAGGTAGCATATATTGTTTTATCCTTCTTGTTCTTTCATTTTGGAAGTCTTCATCCATCCTTGGAGAACATTCTGTGACACAGTGAGTTTATAATTTTGAAATAGAATAATTCTTTAGACACTAAGGAACCTCCTGAGAGATATTAGAATACTTTATGAAATATTTTGTGACCTATTTATGAAGGTAGAGAGAAATGGAGACTGATAGTAAAATGAAGTTAGTTTCTAAGCTTTAAAACAGTATATATATGATGGGGGTGTCTGGGTGGCTCAGTCGGTTAAGTGGCCAACTTCGGTTCAGGTCATGATCTCACAGTTTATGAGTTCAAGCCCCATGTCGGGCTCTGTGCTGACAGCTCAGAGCCTAGAGCCTGCTTCAAATTCTGTGCCTCTATCGCCCTCTGCCCCTCGCCCACTCACGCTGTCTCTAAAAAATAAACAAAAAAAATGTTTTAACAATATATGATTGTTTTTTTTTTTTTTAATTTTTTTTCAACGTTTATTTATTTTTGGGACAGAGAGAGACACAGCATGAACGGGGGAGGGGCAGAGAGAGAGGGAGACACAGAATCGGAAACAGGCTCCAGGCTCTGAGCCATCAGCCCAGAGCCCGACGCGGGGCTCGAACCCAAGGACCACGAGATCGTGACCTGGCTGAAGTCGGACGCTTAACCGACTGTGCCACCCAGGCGCCCCTATGATTGTTTTTAAAGTAATTATAATTAGTTTTCTTTTTTTTTTTTTATAATTAGTTTTCTTAGGCATGATAGTATTAATTTTTTTTGAAAATGACTCTTTTAGAGATACATACTAAAATATTTACAAATGAAATCATATGCTTTCTGGAATTTACTTTAAAAGAATCTAGGGTTAGAGAGTGAGGATGGAAATAGAGATGAAACACACTGGTAATATTATATATTGGTAATTGTTGATGTTGAAAGATGGATGTATCAGGTTCATTAGTAAACTAGTTTCTCTTGTATTTCTCTTGTATTTGTTCCTACTTCAGTAACTTTCATATTGTAAAAATTAGACTATTGCACACAATTTGTAAAGGAATACAGTTTTGGTGTTGAATTCTTTAATTTTGCTAGGTAAATGTAGTGGTTAATATTCTTTCCTGAAGAGTATTTGAGGAATATTGAGTTTGAGGTAATGTTGAATAGTGGAAAGAGCATTGGATTTAGAGACAAAGACAGGATTTCATTTCTCAGCTTTGCAGTCCTATGATCTTAATAGGTCACTCAACCTGTCTGAGCATCAATTTCCTCTTCTGTAGTAATACCTCTACAGTAATTCTCAAGAAGGTTATTTTGAGAATTTAACTTAATATAATGTACAGTAAAATCACTTTTAAAACTAAGTTACCAATCAAAACTTAAATCTAAATCAAGGTAAATTTATACTACTTTCCCTTTTGCAAGTAAACTAGAATAGATATATGTGGTAAACAGAATGGATGAAAATTGTTTGTGGGAGGTAGGATTGGTAATGGAAAAGATCCATGCCCAATTAGAACACATGGAAGGTGGAACTAAGGTCTGTAAAGAGATTTGACAGCTATAGAAGACAGCACAGTGGAGAAGATGCAGAACACTCTCGTATTGAAGCCTGAGACCTCAATCCCATTGTTTATTCTTAAATAGTTATGTAAACCTTTTGAGGGGAGGGTCAAATTTGAACATAATCTGTATGAAATCTTTTTAAATGATGTAGCATTGAGGTTTTAATCCTCTCTTGCTTTCGTTGATATACTATGAACACAAGAAACTAAAATTAAGAAGGTAAAGGAAAAATCTAGCGTGGAAGAAAAGTGAATAGTAATAATAATTAAAAACATAAAAATTAAATTGAAATGACATGGGTTTGTGCAAAAAATGAGGAATTATAACTATAATTATAACATTTTGGCAAAATGAAAACATTTCAGCTAAGTATAGTAGTACTGTGCTTATTTGTAGTTATTAGGAATGTACTTTCTTTGATTCTACAACTAGTTAGGCCATTAGGAAGAATAAAAGAAACTTTGTATGTGGGATGTATTTTAATGGAGGTATTTTCCCAGTTTGTCTTCTACTCTGAGTGTGTTCTTTGTTTCCAACCCAGCTGGTAAACAAAGGAAGTAATTCTATTCTCTCATAGAGACAGAGAGGATATGAAATTACTTTCTCTCTTACTATTTAATGATCTTCTAAAAAATTTATAAGCCAACCTGCCTTGACTATTATGCAATTAGATATATTTGATTTTAGGTGTTGGAGATTTTGCCAAAATGTTGACTTCTTTTCTAATAAAACATACCAGAGCTACAATATATCTCAGAATTAATCATTACTAGAGAGTTGGGGACTTTATTTTGGGAATTACTTACTGAAATAACTTTTCCAAGGTAGTTTCTCTTATAGGACATTCTTACTTCATGGACTTCAGAGACAGCTGAGCAGCCAGCAGGGTTCCAGTTTGCTGTCACTGTTTCTAATGAAATTATCTAAAATGTCTTTTTAAAAATTTGTAGCTATAAATTCAGTCTGCAGCTAAATTTTGTTACATACATAATTTGGATTGATGGTTCCGGTAAAACGGTGTGTAAGTTTCAAACCAGAAAGTCAAATATTTGTGGTGAAGATGTTTATTTGAAGAAGACACTTCTCTGGTTTATATGGATATAGGCAAACATGTTGTAAACTTCCAATTTTTACATGTCTTATCTATGAATAGCCAGTTCTGCCTTGTCCCTAATTTCCTGGCCAGCCAGCTAATCATCTTGAACTGATGGTGCTGCTGTATGTAACTATTTCTCTACTTCTCCTTTAGTGAAATCATGTGCCATTATTAGTATTCAGTTGTACAGTGGCGTGTAATTTTCTTTAATACTCTGTTGATGGACATTTAAATTGTGTGTGTGTGTGTTTTTGCTGCTGTGAATGTCCTTTCACATATATATTCTTGAATTTGTGTACATAAAACTTTAAGATCAATTCCTACCAGTGAAATTGCTCAATATATAATTTTCTTACATAATTAGAATCATGCTTAAGTTAAAAATTTTTAATAGAAAAAGTATTTTATATGTAAAAATATCTTTTCCAATTTTTTTTCCTATGGTAATTCTTGAAAGTTCAGTGGTTTCAGTATTCAGACAAATAAAGACACCTAGTTTAGGTAGCCAGTCTAGCCAAAGAATCCTTTAAGAAAATCACATTTTTTTTTAAATTTTTTTTAGCGTTTATTTATTTTTGAGACAGGGAGAGACAGCATGAATGGGGGGGGGGGGTCAGAGAGAGAGGGAGACACAGAATCTGAAACAGGCTCCAGGCTCTGAGCTGTCAGCACAGAGCCTGACGTGGGGCTCGAACTCACGGACCGCGAGATCATGACCTGAGCGGGAGTCAGATGCTTAACCGACTGAGCCACCCAGGTGCCCCTAGAAAATCACATTTTTTACATAGTAGTCTTTGTACTGCCTCATTTCTCTTCATACACAAAATACAGCAATAACCTCATAAAACCTCAAAAATAATCTTTTTCTTTATGAAGTCCCTAATTTTCAAAAATACAGTTTTTTTAAATATTTAATTTTGACAGAGACAGAGACGGAGCATGAGTGGGGGAGGGGCAGAGAGAGAGAGGGAGACACAGAATCTGAAACAGGGTCCAGGCTCTGAGCTGTCAGCACAGAGCCTGATGCGGGGCTTGAACTCACAGACAGTGAGATCATGACCTGAGCTGAAGTTGGATACTCAACCCACTGAGCCACCCAGGTGCCCCTCAAAAATACAGTTTTAAAGGGCAGTTTTTACTTGTGAAAGATGAAAATTGGTTTTATTAATTTGAAATGACATGAAATATAAATATAGCAGGGGTGCCTAGGTGGCTCAGTCAGTTAAGTGTCCAGCTTTGGCTCAGGTCATGATCTCGCAGTTTCGGAGTTTGAGCACCATGTCAGGCTCTGTGCTGACAGCTCAGAGCCAGGATCCTGCTTCGAATTCTGTGTCTCCCTCTCTCTCTCTGCCCCTCTCCTGCTTGTGCTGTCTCTCTCTCCCTCAAAAATAAATGAACATTAAAAAAAATTTATAAGTAAGTAAATATAGCAAAAATTCTAAGTTTTCTGGTTTAACTGATTAATTTTTCTGTGTGCTTTAGATCTTTCTTCTTTGTATATAATTGGTCTAATGTTGAAGCAAAATGTTAAGTAGAGGTTCACTTGCATTATTTTGCCTAAATCCATTAAGTGGGGGTGAAATCACTAGTGTAATTGTGATCACACTGTATCCTTTTACTTAATTACTTGAATTATAAAAAAAGGATACCTGGATGTAAAACTTGAAATTTACCTATCATAGATAACTACATAAATCTGCTACATAACCAAAAGTCTGCTTTGAACCTTTGCAATTGGATCTGTTAATCTTAGTCCAGACTTTTCTCTTTATCAGATTTATTTTCCACTTTTGCAATCCCATTTTAATTTATGGCTTTAAGGAACCTTGAAGGTTTTTTTTAGAAGTGAGCTCTTTTATTTTTTTTTAAATTTTTTTTCCACGTTTTTATTTATTTATGGGACAGAGACAGAGCATGAACGGGGGAGGGGCAGAGAGAGAGTGAGACACAGAATCGGAAACAGGCTCCAAGCTCCAAGCCATCAGCCCAGAGCCATCAGCCCAGAGCCTGACGCGGGGCTCGAACTCACAGACCGTGAGATCGTGACCTGGCTGAAGTCAGACGCTTAACTGACTGCGCCACCCAGGCGCCCCTAAGGAACCTTGAAGTTTTATAGGCTAAAAGACAGCATCTGAAGAAACATGTTAATTGATTGGCCTGCTACTAGAAATACAAAAGTATAATCCTATTTGAATGACTTTAGGGCAAGTTGTGGTTTAATTTCTATTTCTTGTTAAAGCAGTGATTCTCAACTCTGGCTTATATGTTGGAATTACTTGGGGGTGTTTAAAAAATACTATGAGCCAGACCTCATACCTAGAGAGTGGGACCCAGCATTGAGAGCTTTAAAAAGCACTCCATATGAGCTCTGCTGTGGTGCAGCCAGGATCAGGAATCACTGCTCTGTTAGAGTTGTTCAAAGCTAATTCCAGTAAGGAGTAATTTCATGCTGCTCAACAAAATTAGAATGCTTGATGAGCTTAATCAGAGTTTCCCAAAGGGTGATATGTGTCCCTACCACTGGTGTTACATAAGGTAATTTTACTTTTTTATCTTAATACTTACATATTTGTTTTAATGTGCATTAGAAAATAAGTATCACACCAAACTCCTCACAGTTCCATGGATACTGCTTTGAAGCCAGATTTTTAAAAATTACATGTGCCAATTTCAAAGAAATTTGCCAAATTGTAGAAACACACTTAAGTGGATGATTATGTAAAATATAAACATGGCAGAAATCATAAAAATGTTAAAGAAACACAGTGGCAACTTTGGTAAAAGTCACCTTCTAAAATCTGGGATTAGAACCTAAAGTATTATTGCTTTTTCTCCAATGAAGATTTAAAATAACTTAATTCTTCTAGCTTTTAAAAATCCAGTGACAGACTTTGAGAATTAGACTTTCTGAAAATATTTAAATTACTGCTTTCTAACAAAGTTTCTTGTCACTTAGTTCTCTTATAGAAGTATGCCTTATAGATCAAAATACTTTGCTCCTTTTTTTTCTGAGGTAGAGATACCATGTGGTGGTAAGGACAGAAAGGAGTGTGTGTGAGTGTTTGAGACAGAGAAAGAGATAGGGATGGTAGGAGGGCTTGATGTATGGCTGAGTAGATCACTTAGATAACTAGATAGAGAAGAGTATTAATTATAGGACATCACCTTCCCCAGGTACCTGTTTTCTCCCACACTCTGAGGAAGTCCATAAGTCTGCCACAACTCAGAATACTTTAGGAAACACTACTTTAGGTTTTCTCATTGGTGAAGTGGGTTGCTCTGGGTGGGCCAATTAAAATGGGCTCCATATAGAGGTATTTAGCTATCCTATATAAAAGACATCTGGGGCTCAGAGACATTTGATTAGGCAAATTAGCTCATGCTATAAATAATAGTTTACTGTTTTATCAATAATGTATATATATTTTAATTATAGAGGCAGCTCTTCTAAGCAAGAGTAGACACAGCCAACATTAAAATTGTATTACCTGAAGTTAAAAATAACTGTGGTGCAGTTATAATATAATGTTGTAAATGTCTGTCCTATGTAATTTTATAGAATGGAAGCTTCTTGCCTAGAACTGGCCTTGGAAGGGGAACGTCTGTGTAAGTCAGGAGACTGCCGTGCTGGTGTGTCCTTCTTTGAAGCTGCAGTTCAAGTTGGAACTGAAGACCTAAAAACACTTAGTGCTATTTACAGCCAGCTGGGCAATGCTTATTTCTATTTGCATGATTATGCCAAAGCATTAGAATACCATCATCATGATTTAACTCTAGCAAGGTAATTAATTTAAGCTTTTTAATACTCTTTCTCCTTGAATGTTTCTTAAAAAATGTTTATTCAATTAAAAAAAATGAACTTAATACATTTTAGTGAGTTCTGATTCAGTAGCACTGCATTTTAAAACTTTAGGCTGATCACAGTTTAATTAAATGATTTAATAGTAGTGAAATGACACTAGAGTTTAATTAAATGAATGAAAATTAATTACATTTAAATACAGAAACATAAGTTTTACATTTTTATTTAAAGTAGGTTTCAGGGCTAATAACAGGTCCTTTTTACCTAAAGCATGTCAGTTGTCCTCTAGGGAAAACTATACTCTGGCTGCTTGCTTTATTTTTAACACCATTTGCTTGCCCCCCCCCCCCCCCCCCCAGGACTATTGGAGATCAGCTGGGGGAAGCCAAAGCTAGCGGTAATCTGGGAAACACCTTAAAAGTTCTTGGAAATTTTGATGAAGCTGTAGTTTGTTGTCAGCGACACCTAGATATTTCCAGAGAGCTTAATGACAAGGTAATAAGGAATATTACATAGTGGGCCAAATGTTTTATTTGAAATTGCTTTGTGTTTTAATTTTACTTAATTATTCTGTAGTTTATCTAAAAGTTAATACCAATGAAGAAAATATTCATAGAAAAATAGAAGTAAAAAATTTTAAATAGTGGAGAAAAAATAGTAGACATTCTTTCATAAGTAATCATTTATTTGGTTGTATGGATGGCCATTATAAACATTTCTTTCTCTTGACCATCAAGGATAATTATAAATAAATATATGTGATAAGCATTATAATACCTGGCTTCTGATTTCAAAATGTAAACTCTGTTGATATCTTCATCTAGGTGGGAGAAGCAAGAGCACTTTACAATCTTGGAAATGTGTATCATGCCAAAGGGAAAAGTTTTGCCTGCCCTGGTCCTCAAGACATGGGAGAATTTCCAGAAGACGTGAGAAATGCTCTGCAGGCAGCTGTGGATTATTATGAGTAAGTAGCACTGATGCAGTCCTGTGGCCCACCTAAGGCTTGGACCTGCTCTACATTCTTTATCCAGTAATACGTTTTTAAGTTTGGGAAAGGTTTTAGAATTCTGGACTAGCAAGTAAAAATAAACCATCAAATCCGCTGCTAAAATGTTACAGTGTTGGAATAGAGTAATCCCCTCCCCAGGAAAGCTTTCCTTTAAATTGTTAACCGGTGCCACTTAGTGGCAAAAACAAGAAATATCAATCGTTAGTCTAAACTATTTGGAGTAAATTTAGTTTTATCAGTAGAATTTCATAGAACTTCTTAGCTGTAACGGTTCCAAGATTGACTCTGTCCTTGACTCTGGACAGAAACATGCCTGAATGGTTCAGTAAAGTGTTCCCATTTATTTCCCATAAACATCCTCTATCATACATATACCTCTAAAATTTACACTATGACTGTAAGCTTAGAAATTTTTTTGATAAGAATTTGATTTGTAAATTAAATCAATACATTTTTTTCTCAAACGTATTTTTTCACAACTTTTGTTATCATTTAGGGAAAACCTATCACTAGTGACTGCTTTGGGTGACCGAGCAGCCCAAGGACGTGCCTTTGGAAATCTTGGAAACACACATTACCTCCTTGGCAACTTCAGGGATGCGGTTATAGCCCATGAACAGGTATAGTGCAAGGCTTTGAGGCCAGATCATTTTCCCCATCAGTGTTCTGAATAGTGATTAGATTATTCTTTAGTTTTGTTATAGCTATATCTAACTTGAATTTTCTGTTTCAGCGTCTCCTTATTGCAAAAGAATTTGGAGATAAAGCAGCTGAAAGAAGAGCATATAGCAACCTTGGAAATGCATATATATTTCTTGGTGAATTTGAAACTGCCTCTGAATACTACAAGTTAGTCTAATATTTCTATAGATAAATGTAAAATGAATAGTTATGCAGTCCTATAAAATCATAGACTTTGGGTTTAAAACTTGCTTTTTGCACATACTAGCAGCAGGAGCTTATACTTCTAAGCCTCAATTTCTTCATCTGTAACGGATGATGCCCAAAAGCAACGGACGATGCTTTTGGGATTGTTGTGAGGATTGAATGAAAGAATATATTAAGCATTTATTTTGCATAGGACGTGGCTCATAGTCCTAAATAAATATTGTACCTTTGATTTAATCATAGCAGTATGACTCCTTTATATTTTTGTTAGTTTTTATCTTTAAAACTGTTTTTAAATGAAATTCTAAACTTTTAAAGTCTTTTAAACCTGTTTAGTGTGTGGGGTATGTATATTTATATGCTTTTTTTCACCCAGTTATGTGTTTGCAAAAAGCCACAAGAGGAGAGCCTGGGTGGCGCAGTCGGTTAAGCGTCCGACTTCAGCCAGGTCACGATCTCGCGGTCCGTGAGTTCGAGCCCCGCTTCAGGCTCTGGGCTGATGGCTCAGAGCCTGGAGCCTGTTTCCGATTCTGTGTCTCCCTCTCTCTCTGCTCCTCCCCCGTTCATGCTCTGTCTCTCTCTGTCCCAAAAATAAATAAACGTTGAAAAAAAAAATTAAAAAAAAAAAAAAAGCCACAAGAAAGTCTGGTAACAAAAATATGCCCTAGTTTTCATCAGTGATCACTTAATTCTTTTCCCCACCATTGTACCCTCATGTTGAACATTTCACCCACCCTCTCCTGCCCATCTTTGATCCTCACCATAAACTGAGGCCCCCATCCACTTGCCTGAGGAGTTGGCAAACCTAGCTTCTTCTGGGAAGGGTCTTTCTGGTCTTTCAATAGACTTGACACATAGATAATAGGAAAGTGTAGACTGTTTGAGATTGTCTGGTCTGTGCTTTCTAGTTTGGAGTTTTCTCTAATTAGTGGGGATTGAAGGCCCATATAGACCTTAGGCAGAAGCCAGTTTGAACCAAAGATACAATGATTGAGTTGTATTTTATTGTTAAAGAATCCAGTGTGAGAGGGTTTGGGATAGTTTGTCATCTAAAAACAAAAGGTAAAATTGCTTTAGGTCCATCTTAAAAACTAAAATGTCATCCCACCCTACTTTAAACATTGACTAATGAATGGTTAATATTTGTTCATTGATTAGTTAGATATAAGATATCCTCCTAAATAAAATACATTACTATATAAGGAATACGTAGTTTGATTTTGATTTTATTTTGATTTATTTTTTTTAAGTTTTATTTATTTAAGTAAGCTCTACACCCAACGTGGGGCTCAAACTCCTGACCCTGAGAGTTGGATGCTGTTCTGACTGAGCCAGCCAGGCACCCCTATATTTTGATTTTAAATATAAAAGTTTCTTATATTTTAAAGCCAAAAGACATGGAAATGTCTTAATTAATAGATGATCTACTTGTATTAAATACTTAAAAGTTCTGCAATAAAGTGGATGGTGGCTGTTTGAGTAAAGAACAGGAGTATAAAGTAATGAAACTTCTTCCTGCTGCCCTCTCCATAAGCAGGCTAAAACTCAGAACTCTCAGGACTGCACAAGAAGGCTATCTTAATGTTTTAAATCGCTATCCTTCAGGATAGAAAGCAGTAGTAGTAGCAGTTTGGTAAACCTACTTTAGCAATTGAATTTGTTCCAGAAGGACTTCTGAATATTTACAAATTATATCGTCAAAGAATAATGGTGTGCCAGAAAAATACTCCAGGACCTCAAAGCAATTCCAGAAGTCTTGCAAAAATGTTTGAGAGGAGGCAGTGTTAGAATAAGTGTGTGGTCTCCCAAGGTGACAGCTTTGAAGGTATCACCATTAAATACAAAATTTCAGGCTTGTTTGCTTAAAACTATATTATCTATCATATACCTATTTTTTGTGTAATTATAAATCACATGAAATATTTGTACTATTTGGAAGAAACTGTAGGAGTCATTTAAGTTACTGGATCTAAAGCATCTGTAGGCTTAAGTGCTGATAATAATAATCAAAACAGTATTTACATTTGTTACCATCTCCTGTGAGCAAGATGCCATTCTAAGCACTTCATATATACTAATTTGTTTCATCCTCACAAAACCCTGTGAGGTATTTTCCCCATTTTACAGACAAGGAAACAGAGTTTGAGTGACTTGCCCTGTGACAGAGCTAATAATTGCCAAATTTGGGATTTGAACCCATTCTAACTTTAGGGTCCACACTCTTAACTGGGACACTAGGTTCTCATTGATTCAATGTGTGTTAGGTAGAATCTGGTTAATGTTTAAATGTGGTATTTAATATTTTTCATGAATCAGTGATTACTGATTGTACACATTCTACACATTAGAATTTTGAGTACTATGTTTTGAATTTTGACAAAATGCAAAGACAACAGTATAATTGAAAAGAGAGGTTATGTGGACAAAATTTTCTTACTTTTAAGCTATTGCCACTACAACTTGGATAGTTTTTTTATTTTATTTATTTATTTATTTATTTTTTAAAGTATTTTTTTTTTCAACGTTTATTTATTTTTGGGACAGAGAGAGACAGAGCATGAATGGGCGAGGGGCAGAGAGAGAGGGAGACACAGAATCGGAAACAGGCTCCAGGCTCTGAGCCATCAGCCCAGAGCCTGACGCGGGGCTCGAACTCACGGACCGTGAGATCGTGACCTGGTTGAAGTCGGACGCTTAACCGACTGCGCCACCCAGGCGCCCCTTGGATAGTTTTTTTAGAGACACTTGGTCTTGTGTCAGTATTCCTTTTCTCTGAAGAATATTTAATAGGGCTCTCAAATTTATTCTGAGAGTCTAGATTTGGTTTTTGTGTTTCCAAAACAACTTCATTTTGTCTGAAAGTAATGGAGAAAGTATGATATTAAACTCTAAAATAAATTTACTTTAGAGGCAGGAAGAAAAATGAGTGTTTTATGATTATTATAGCCAAAAATAAAAATGATCATTATGTAAGAATTAATTTCTTTTTTTAGAAAGACACTGCTATTGGCTCGACAGCTTAAAGACAGAGCTGTAGAAGCACAGTCTTGCTATAGTCTCGGAAATACATACACTTTGCTTCAAGACTATGAAAAGGCCATCGATTATCATCTGAAGCACTTAGCAATTGCTCAAGAGCTAAATGATAGGTAAGTTATACAGTTCCCTACTATAATTATAGTAAAATATAGATGCATTATTGAATCCTTAGAATTTTTCCTTTGTTTTTGTTTCCTTTGTTTTCTTTTTAATTCTTTTTTAAGGAATTTCTTCTGTTTTAGTTACCTTCTCTGTACGTTACTGCTTGAAGGGCTAGCATGTCATAGGAGTTTGCGATGGTCCATATAGCCTTGAACCAAGATCAATAAGTAGGTCACAAACTCGGTTGCCTGCAAAGGTCCTCCTGACTAGAACAGTGTGGGAATTGTGGTGATCTTAGAGATAAGGCCCAGCGTAAGGGGACAGCTGTTACTCAGCTCCAGCTAACTGATGCCAGGCAGGACCAAGGGTCTGTAATGTCCAGGTACTCCTCTGTTTTCAAGAGAAGCTGGAAGTCCTGAGTTTTATTTGAAATCTTCTGATTTTTAAATATTGGTGGCTATTTTTTTTAAATAAAAAACTGTATGATAAAACAGAATCTGTGCAGGCATTTAGTCTGTGATGTTTGCTTTAGAAAGAGATTTTTACTTCAGTATGAAGAACTGCTTTTCTGTAATTGTTCAAAATGAAATATGTTACTTCAAGAGGTAGTACATTCTCTCTCCCCAGTGGTGTTCAAACCTGGACTGAATGATTACCTGGTAGGGCTGTCATGGAAAGAAAATGGGCACTTTAACTAGAAGACCTATTAGATTTTATTATTTTATAATAAATTGTATGTTTGAAAAGGATGTTTCCCATTTTTTGCTTGACTCTGAGTTTGGTATTATCTGGGTATTCTAATATGTCTCCAGTGATGTGATAGTATGTTCTTTATATGAAAGACCAAATCCAAGAGTGGGAGAGAGCCAAAGCATAAGAGAGTCTTAAAAACTGAGAACAAACTGAGGGCTGATGGGGGGTGGGTGATGGGTATTAAAGAGGGCATCTTTTGGGATGAGCACTGGGTGTTGTATGGAAACCAATTTGACAATAAATTTCATATATTAAAAAAAAAAAACAAATCCAAAACATTGTTTATACCATTAATTACTGCTAAATAGCTTTTATTCTACACACAGCTCTCCTTTCATATAACTATATTTTAGCTTTGAATTGTTTTGTAGAATTGGTGAAGGAAGAGCATGTTGGAGCTTAGGAAATGCATACACAGCTCTAGGGAATCATGATCAAGCAATGCATTTTGCTGAAAAGCACTTGGAAATTTCAAGAGAGGTATGTAACTAAAAAACAGCTGTCTGTGCTATGTGATTCACAAATTAGCGGGGGGTGGGGGGGAAGGCCTATTATTTCTCTGGATTTCTCCTGTATAACCTAGTAATAAATCTATGTTATTCCCTTGGCATAAAAACTGCACAAAGCATTTTGAGATACAGATCAGAGGTCTGTTTGCATTGCCTTTGATGTAGGAAGATAGGAAGGTAAGACCAGGCATAGGGGAATGGAAAGATTACTAAAATATGCCTCCTGTCTCTACATGGAAAAGTAGCATCGTATGGAAAGAAAAAACGGGGTTTTTTTGTTGTTGTTGTAGTTGTTGTCTTTTTTTTTTTTTTTAACATGGTTGTTATAATCAAGGATTTATAATCCAGATTGTATCTGTTCCTGGGGCACCTGGGTGGCTCAGTCGGTGAGCGTCCGACTTCAGTTTAGGTCATTATCTCATTGTCTGTGAGTTTCGAGCCCCACGTCGGGCTCTGTGCTAACAGCTCGGAGCCTGGAGCCTGCTTCGGATTCTGTGTCTCCCTCACTCTCTGCCCCCTCCCCCGCTCATGCTCTGTGTCTGTCTGTCTCTCTGTCTCTGTCTGTCTGTCTGTCTCTCTCTCTCTCTCTCTCTCTCTCTGTCAGAAATAAATAAACATTAAAAAAGTAAATTAAAAAAAAAAAGATTGTTATCTATTCCTGTTCCAGTTCTGCTTTCTGGCTATTTGAGCTTGGAAATCTTTTCTGAACCTCATTTCTCATCTGTAAAATGGGAAGAATAACATCTACCTTGCAAATCATTATAAGAATTAGAGATAGTGTATGTAAAAGTGCCTAGTGTAATATCTATTGCTGGCTTAATAGATACTATTACTATGGTATGGAAACAATATTCTAAGGAAATTTTATTCATGTGTTGGCAACTTAATGTGTCACAGAATAACCAGCGTTATTATTAAATATGATTGTAGAGATTAAGAGCAATTAGTATTTAGAGAATGGAAGTATTGGTAGAATGTAATCAGCTTTCCTATTGCCATATTTTAGAAGCTTCCCTTTTCTTTAAAGCAACTATTATTGGAAAAACCCATTTCATTCAGTCTCTTAATTCTAATAGATCTGTTTTCATTTCTATTTTCTTCCAGTTTTAGGTTCATAACATTTTCAGCTAATCTTCACCATTGTCTTTAAATACTACTCTAAAATATAAATGCTTGTTGGTTGTAGGTTGGGGATAGAAGTGGTGAACTAACAGCACGACTGAATCTCTCAGATCTTCAAATGGTTCTTGGTCTGAGCTACAGCACAAATAATTCAATAATGTCTGAAAATATTGAAATTGATAACAATTTGCATGGTAAGTAACAGGTCTTCAAACCCAATTTCTTTATCCTCAATTACATTTAAATTACTCATCACATGTTAACCATCTCCAGAGAGAATATATAACTTAGGAAACTCAAATTTTTATAATACCTTTTTGCTTTACCATAGTCCTGTTGATGTATCACTATAGAATATGGTATTTTACGGTTGTTATCTTGAACTTAGGAATGGTAAAGGTATGATTATTTTCTATAGGGTCACTCAAATTTATAAATGTTTGATGACAAAATTAAAATATTTTATTGTTTAGTTATTCTTTTTGATTCAAATGTTTTTACATATTTGATTTTTGTTTAGCTCTTGTTTCATTTCTAAGGTTATCTCTTAGATGAAAATTAAAAGGTCTGAAAATACCAGTATTGAAATGTGGGTAATGGAAGCTCTCATTCAGTGTTGACGGTGATAGAGATGTGTTTACTCTCAAGAACAATGTGGCAACATTCTGGTAAAGTTGAGGATGTACTGAGCATATGATCTGGCATTTCCACTGCCAGTTACATACCACTGATATCCAAACTGGAAGAAACACTTGCTCATGTCATTAAGAGAAAGAGACATTTTCAAGAATTTCTGTAATAGTACTGCTTATGATAACAAAAAATAAGAAGCACTCTAAATCTCTGTCCCCAGTAGAATGGATAAAGAATTTCCTAGTCCTAAAATGGCAGTCAAAATTAAACTACACATATGAACTTGGCTGAATCTCACAAACATAAAGTTTCTCAAAGGAAGCAAGTTAGATGATATATACAGTATGAGAGCATTTATTATAAAATAAATTGCTTGGAGATCTATATATATGTAAATATATAGATGAAACATATGAAATATATGAAAATATAAAAAATTATAGGGAAGAGGAGGCACATTTTCAGAGAGTCACAGAGGAGTTAATATGTTGATAGTGGTTTATTTGTTAAGCTGGGTATTAGGTATCATATATTCCTTATGGCTTTAAAATATTGCTTATGGCACAAAAACAGACACATAGACCAATGGAATAGAATAGAAACCCCAGAACTAGACCCACAAACGTATGGCCAACTCATCTTTGACAAAGCAGGAAAGAACATCCAATGGAAAAAAGACAGTCTCTTTAACAAATGGTGCTGGGAGAACTGGACAGCAACATGCAGAAGGTTGAAACTAGACCACTTTCTCACACCATTCACAAAAATAAACTCAAAATGGATCAAGGACCTGAATGTGAGACAGGAAACCATCAAAACCCTAGAGGAGAAAGCAGGAAAAGACCTCTCTGACCTCAGCCGTAGCAATCTCTTACTCGACACATCCCCAAAGGCAAGGGAATTAAAAGCAAAAGTGAATTACTGGGACCTTATGAAGATAAAAAGCTTCTGCACAGCAAAGGAAACTACCAACAAAACTAAAAGGCAACCAACGGAATGGGAAAAGATATTTGCAAATGACATATCGGACAAAGGGCTAGTATCCAAAATCTATAAAGAGCTCACCAAACTCCACACCCGAAAAGCAAATAACCCAGTGAAGAAATGGGCAGAAAACATGAATAGACACTTCTCTAAAGAAGACATCCGGATGGCCAACAGGCACATGAAAAGATGTTCAGCGTCGCTCCTTATCAGGGAAATACAAATCAAAACCACACTCAGATATCACCTCACGCCAGTCAGAGTGGCCACAATGAACAAATCAGGAGACTATAGATGCTGGAGAGGATGTGGAGAAACGGGAACCCTCTTGCACTGTTGGTGGGAATGCAAATTGGTGCAGCCACTCTGGAAAGCAGTGTGGAGGTTCCTCAGAAAATTAAAAATAGACCTACCCTATGACCCAGCGATAGCACTGCTAGGAATTTATCCAAGGGACACAGGAGTACTGATGCATAGGGGCACTTGTACCCCAATGTTCATAGCAGCACTCTCAACAATAGCCAAATTATGGAAAGAGCCGAAATGTCCATCAACTGATGAATGGATAAAGAAATTGTGGTTTATATACACTATGGAATACTACGTGGCAATGAGAAAAAATGAAATATGGCCTTTTGTAGCAACGTGGATAGAACTGGAGAGTGTGATGCTAAGTGAAATAAGCCATACAGAGAAAGACAGATACCATATGGTTTCACTCTTATGTGGATCCTGAGAAACTTAACAGGAACCCATGGGGGAGGGGAAGGAAAAAAAAAAAAAGAGGTTAGAGTGGGAGAGAGCCAAAGCATAAGAGACTGTTGAGAACTGAGAGCAAACTGAGGGTTGATGGGGGGTGGGAGGGAGGAGAGGGCGGGTGATGGGTATTGAGGAGGGCACCTTTTGGGATGAGCACTGGGTGTTGTATGGAAACCAATTTGACAATAAATTTCATATATAAATAAAAAAAAAATTAAAAATAAATAAATAAATAAATAAAATATTGCTTAATCTTTAAAATATTGAATGGATATGAAAATGTGAAAATGGATATGAAAATATATTTCTCTATATTCAATGCTAACTTTATTGAAAAAACTTTTGAGGACCATGTTTATGTTTATTTAACATGTTTCCTGGTCAGCATTAAATCTCTCATCTAATGTGATCTTAAAATGAGTAACAATATAGAACTAGAGGTGTTACTTTGATTCTTACCTTGAAATTGAAGGCCTAAAGCCTTTTCCTTGGATTTTTACTTAATTAAAAAAATTTTTTTTATTGTTTGTTTATTTTTGAGAGAATGTGAGTGGGGGAGGGGCAGAGAGAGACAGAGAGGGAGACACAGAGTCCAAAGAAGGCTCCAGGCTCTGAGCTGTCAGCACAGAGCCTGACACGAGGCTTGAAGTCACGAACCATGAGATCATGACCTGACCTGAAGTTGGATGCCCAACCGACTGAGCCACCCAGGAGCCCCTTATTATTTTTTTTAGTGTTTATTTATTTTTGAGAGATAGAACATGAGCTGGAGAGGGCCATAGAGAGGCGGGGGATAGAGGATCTGGAGCGGGCTCCATGCTGAAAACAGAGCCCTGAGCCAAAGTCGGACATTTAACCGACTGGTTTTTACTTACTTAAACTACCCTACAGTTTGTTTTTTCCCCTACTATAATCATTTTAGTGGTTTTTTTAAATTTGCGTTTTTTCCAGTTTGAGAAATATTTGACATACATGATTGTAAATTAAAGGTGTACAGTATGATGACCTGATTTATACCTAGTGAAATGATCACCACAGTAGGTTCAGTTAACATCCATCTTCTCATACAGATAGCAAAAGGGAAAAAAATATTCTTCTTATGATGAACATTCTTAGGATAAACCCTCCTAGCAACTTTCCTAAGTGTCATACTGCAATGTTGACTGTAGTCATCATGATGTACGTTCTATCCCTAGTACTTATTTACCTTATAACCCGAGGTTTGTACCTTTTGACCACCTTCTTCCTTTCCCCCTCCGTAATCCTCTGCCTCTGGTAAATCACAAGTTTGATCTCTTTTTTTCCTAGTTCGGGTTGTTTTTTTCTTTTTAGATTCCACTGTAAGATCATACGGGATTTGTCCTTCTCATTTTCTTTTAAGAGTTTCTGTGGATAGTATAATACCAGTTATTATAAAATGCCTTTTCTAAATTAAGGGGTAATGTCAGTAACCAAAGTTAGTTTCCAACCAAAATGTAACTTCCCTACATCAAAGCATTTTAGAGGGAGTGTATATTCTGTTTTTATGTAGTTGGTATGGAAAATTATTATTCTTAAAAAAATACATGTTTGTATGTTTCCTCCTTCCATATGGGCTTGTGTAACAGACTTTAAAATTGAATAACCTAGTCATGCTGAATTTGTAGTCTTAAGGACTTCCCCATGTATTTGAATTTTTTTTTTTTTTTTTTTTTTTTTTTTACAAAGGTGCACGCCCGAAGTTTGGACGCCGACACAGTATGGAAAACATGGAACTTATGAAGTTAACACCAGAAAAGGTTGGCAGCCTTTAGGTTTTTAAATTTCTTGAACTGTTATAATCAAATATTTAAGTAACTTTTAACTTACATGAATAGTTTAAATAAACCTTGTGTTGTATGGGTATCACTTTAAAATTTTCCTTTTGGGGTGCCTGGGTGGCGCAGTCGGTTAAGCGTCCGACTTCAGCCAGGTCACGATCTCGCGGTCCGTGAGTTCGAGCCCCGCGTCAGGCTCTGGGCTGATGGCTCAGAGCCTGGAGCTGTTTCCGATTCTGTGTCTCCCTCTCTCTCTGCCCCTCCCCCGTTCATGCTGTGTCTCTCTCTGTCCCAAAAATAAATAAACGTTGAAAAAAAAAAATTAAAAAAAAAAATTTTTCCTTTAAAAAGAATTTTTAAAAAGTACAGTCTAAAAAGAATGTGCCTAATATGCTGCCATCTGTTTAAGAGAAGCATTATGCATCTATATCCTTTGTAGATGCTTAAAACATTTCAGGAAGAATCTCTAAGAAACCTGCTAATAAAAATAACAATTGCTTCTGGGAAAAGGAGTGGATGTCTCAGAAGAGATACTTTGTACACAGTTTTAGTTTGAACTGTTTGAACATTTTAACATGTACGTGTATTACTTTTTTTAATTACTTTTTTTAAATGGAAAAATTAAAGGGTTAGGAAGCTTTATTTTCTCCCAACTAAGTAACAGCAACATTATTAGTAAGATAAGTGATATGTATGATCAAGCTAGTTTTTCTGGCTGCATTTCTTAAAAGCATTTTCTTCACTAACAACTGTTTATTCAAGATGCATCTTCCTTAGGCTTTTGTTTTCAGTAACAGAGAAGGGACTTTATAATTAGAAAAGTTATTTTTTTCTTTTATAATTTTCTATTAAGTTTTTTAATTCCAGTGTAGTTAACATACAGTGTATGGGAGTTCCAGGTGTGCAGTATAGTGATTCAACACTTCTGTGCATTACTCAGTGCTCATCATGCTAAGTGTACTCTTTAATCTCCATCACCTATTTCACCCATCCCCCCACCCAGGGAAAAGATTAGTGAAGAAAAGAAATCTAGGTCCTTTCTTCCACCTTTAATTTTTACATTGTTAAAGCAGGCTGTTGTTCTTTTATGGTATATTTTTTAAAATACTTTTTATAAAATAGGTTCATTATAATAACTTCAGAAAATTTCAACAAGGAAATTAAAATTATCAGTAATCCCACCCTCAGTGGTAACTACAAGTAATATTTTGGTATTTATTCATCTTGCATTTTCATGTGAATATTAATATTTTATAGATATAATGTGTAGTTATTATTTCCATGTTATTAAACATTTTTCTGCCCTATTATAATAGGCATATGATTTTTTTTTAATTTATTTTTTTTTTTCAACGTTTATTTATTTTTGGGACAGAGAGAGACAGAGCATGAACGGGGGAGGGGCAGAGAGAGGGAGACACAGAATCGGAAACAGGCTCCAGGCTCTGAGCCATCAGCCCAGAGCCTGACGCGGGGCTCGAACTCACGGACCGCGAGATCGTGACCTGGTTGAAGTCGGACACTTAACCGACTGCGCCACCCAGGCGCCCCGGCATATGATTTTTTAATATTGACATTTTTTGTGGGAAAAGTTTTCATAAGTTCAAATCAGCCAGATATATATAAAGCTTTTCAGAAATCCTAGTTAACTCCTGAAGGACTTTGTGATTTCCCCAGATATCTGTCTACATCTTACCTTGTCAGTTTGCAAATCTGACTAATCTGCAATTAATTAATTAGGCTAATCTGCAATTTATTTATTTAATGTTTGTTTATTTTTGAGAGAGAGAGGGAGACAGAGCACAAGCAGGGGAAGTGCAGAGAAAGAGGGGGATACAGAATCTCTGAGCTATCAGCACAGATTCTGGCTTGGGGTTTGAAATCATGAACTTGAGATTATGACCTGAGCCAAAGTTGGCCACTTAGCTGACTGAGCCACCCAGGCACCCCTGCAAATTATTAAGAGAAAAAAAACAAACACCTTTTAAGTCAATTTAGGTCTCTTTTCCTATTTCTTGTAGGAACATACTAATTAGCAAAATTAATTTGCTGCCTTGTGCCTAGCTCTGAAGTGGTACTAACAATAGATTTCATTAAGAAGCTGACTAGATTCAACCCTTTAATTTTCCAAGAGCCAAATAATGGCAAAGTTTTGTCTCTAAAATATGTTTGGAATTAGTTCTGTGTTTTCTTTCCCTCATAATAAAGTTGCGATTTATTATTCTCGACCAAGCTAAGAAGCATATGTAAAGAAAAAAGGAGATTCTGTGTTAAAGATATTAGGAAAGAACACAGTTGAAGGGAACTCTTGAGACCCTGGATGTCTGAAAATGCCTTTTTGCTACTCTTACATTTGACTGATAATTCTTACTATGGAATTACTAATTGGAAATAATTTTCCTACATAATTTTGAAGACATTGTTCCAGTCTGTATTCTTCAGTGTTTTTGTTGAGAAGTCCAAATAAGTATATAGGAAACATTAAAATTTTTTCACATTTCTGGGGCACCTGGGTGGCTTAGTCAGTTGAGCGTCCAACTTCGGCTCAGGTCGTGATCTTGAGGTTCACAAGTTTGAGCCCCGCATCAGGCTCTTTGCTGACAGCTCAGGGCCTGAAGCCTGCTTAGCATTCTGTGTCTCCCTCTCTCTCTGCTCCTCCCCTGCTCACACGCTGTCTCTCTCTAAAAAATAAAGATTAAAAAAAAATTTTTTTTCCACATTTCCACTTGGGATTTAGGTAGAGTTTTATGGTTTTTTTTTTTTTTCTTAAGTTTATTATTTATTTCTAAGAGAGAGAGTGAGCATGAGTGAGGGAGGGGGAGGGAGAGGGAATCCCAGGCAGGCTCCAGGCTGTCAGCACATAGCCTAATATGGGGCTCAAATCACAAACCATGAGATCATGCCCTGAGCCCAAATTGAGAGTCAGGTGCTTAACCAACTGAGCCACCCAGGCACCCTGAGTTTTATGTTCTAATAATTGGGCTTGTTTACTTTTCTCCAGTCAATAGACCCTGTAGTCCACCCCAACAAATAGATTCTCCTTATCACCTGTATGAGAAAAGGAACAGAGGAGAAAAAATAAAACAAACTTCATTTGTTACCCAGAATTTACCCAGATAGCTGGCTTGTTCACTCACTAGCTATCTCTCACTCAGGTACAATAGCCTCAGGGCAAGACTTATCCTAATTTGTGTCTTATGTGATGTAACTTTATAGACCTTTGGACTACAAACACTTAAGACCGAATGTTAAAGCTGCAAATGTCAAGTAGCTACTATACATACTGTGTTTTTCCTTTCCACTCAGTAAATATTTGTTTTTTGTTTTTTATGGTTTTTAGTCATTCTTACTATTTTAGGGTTTGGGGTTTTTTTAGTAACTTTAATTTACATCCAAGTTAGCATATAGTGCAACAATGATTTCAGGAGTGGATTCCTTAATGCCCCTTACCCATTTAGCCCATCCCCCCTCCCACAACCCCCAGTAAATATTTGTTATATTGAGTCTGTTGTTTAGAGGTTAAGTATATTTAAACCAGGTCTAGGCCTATATAAATGACTGATGTTTTCCCTGTTGAGAATTTAGTAGTGAAAACAAAAAATGACAAAAAAAAAAAAAATTACTGCTGTATGGCTTAGATGTTAATTTATACCGTTAAAAATTCCACATATATCCAGAATTTCCAGTTGTAACAGGTTAATTAACTCACATCCAGAATAAAATTTGCCCTTTGACCTTTCATATTTTTATGGGATTTTGGCAAACTTTGTTTTCTTTTTTTTTTAATTTTTTTTTTTTTTGCTTATTTAGTTTTGAAGGAGAGAGAGACAGAGTGTGAGTGGGAAGGAGCAGAGGGAGAGGGAGACACAGAATCCAAAACAGGCTCCAGGCTCTAGGCTCTGAGCTATCAGCACAGAGCCCGATGTGGGGCTCCAACCCATGAACTGTGAGATCATGACCTGAGCTGAAGTCAGATGCTCAACCGAGTGAGCCACCCAGGCACTCCTTACTTTCTTAAAAAATTATTTTGAGGGGCGCCTGGGTGGCGCAGTCGGTTAAGCGTCCGACTTCAGCCAGGTCACGATCTCGCGGTCCGCGAGTTCGAGCCCCGCGTCGGGCTCTGGGCTGATGGCTCAGAGCCTGGAGCCTGTTTCCGATTCTGTGTCTCCCTCTCTCTCTGCCCCTCCCCCGTTCATGCTCTGTCTCTGTCTGTCCCATAAATAAATAAAAATGTCGAAAAAAAAATTAAAAAAAAAATATTTTGAGAGGGAGAGAGACGGCACAAGCAGGGAAAGGGCAGAGAGAGAATCCCAAGCAGCCTCCGTACTATCAGCTTAGAGCCCAATGGGGGCTTGATCCCACAAACTCTGAGATCATGACCTGAGTGAGAATCAAGAGTCAGATGCTTAACTGACTGAGCCACCCAGGTGCCCCTGTTTTCTTACTCTTAAGTTCCTAAAAGTCACCATTTTAATGTTTTGGTGATGAAAAATTCACAGTATGCATTTGGTACAAGCTGTTGAAAATAGATATACTGGCAAAAAGGAATTTATTAAGAGATCTAGCTGCACCCCACACTAGAGGAGTGGCAATGGCAGGTTAATATGATAGAAAACCAGAAATAGCTTTGGTTTTTTCATGCCCTGTTTTCCATATCTGTTTATAATTTTGTAGGTACAGAACTGGAACAGTGAAATTCTTGCTAAACAAAAACCTCTTATTGCCAAACCTTCTGCGAAGCTGCTCTTTGTCAACAGATTGAAGGGGAAAAAATGCAAAACTAATTCCTCCACTAAAGTTCTCCAAGATGCCAGTAATTCCATTGATAATCGAATTCCAAATTCTGAGAGGGTATGTATGAAATAAGTTTTTGAGTATTCTGCTTTGAGTACCTACATTTTAGTTTTCTTGTATTCATACTGAATATTTGATAAATTATATTAGACATTTAATATAAAATATCTTTTTTTATTCAAAGAAGTCTTCCATATTTCCCTATCTTTTCTGTCTTCTTCAAAGCTAGAAACTGTAATTACTCCATTCATGGATATGTTGCTTCACTGCTCTGGACAGTAATTATTTGTCACTGATTACAAAAATACTACCTTTTAGTTTACTACAGTGTCTCCTAGTAAAACTCCTTTCATTGTAGAAGTTAGAACAAATTAAATTCATAGGTTCAAGGATTTTAAAATGCTGATTTAAAATAGTATCTGCTAGCATCAACTTCTATTTATGTTGAAATTATAAGTTAAAAACTGCTTTGATGAAAAATGATCACAGGAATCATCTTATTAAATATAACTTGAAATATTTAGAAATAAGAAAATATCAGGAATATCTCTAATCTAGCTACCCTACACTCATAAAAGAACCAAAATAAATTACAAAGATGGTACTTCCAATTATCAAGTCCATTTTCCAATGAGAGTTTTTTAAATTCTTTGTTTATTCATTTTTGAGCAACAGAGTACAAGCAGGGGAGGGGCAGAGAGAGAGAGGAAAACACAAAATCCAAAGCAGGCTCCAGGCTCTGAGCTGTTAGCACAGAGCCCGACGCAGGGCTCGAACTCACAGACCATGAGATCATGACCTGAACTGAAGCTGGACACTCAACCGACTGAGCCACCTAGGCACCCCTCAGTGAGAGCTTTTGGAAAAACTGCTGGTCTTTTATTTTTTTGACCAATTTCTCTTGGTCCTCTTGTCAGCATCCCATCATATCTGTACCCTGGTAGTGTCTTTTGTATTGATTTTTACCAGTTTTTTATGTGTATGACTAACAAAAGGAAACTTTATGGGTATATAAAAATGGCTCAGGAATATTTTTATAGACCTAGAGCAGATCTCAAAGGCATACCCTTTGTTCAAGATTTCAGGTTTTAACGAAGCCCACTTAGCTCAACTGAAAAACGTCCACTTCTGGACCCTTCCTGTGTTTTAATGTTTAGAAGTTTGAATTTGAGCCTTTTTTGCACCTAGGAAAGTCTTGTTAGTGATTAATACATCTTACTATAGCGTATGTATATATTTAATCCCAGACCTCAGATTGCATGTTAAAGACTGTACTCTCTCAAACCCTCCTGTTTCCTTTATGTATGCTATGTACTCGGTCACCCAAGTTAGGTGTCATTCTAGACTCCTTCCCCCTAATCATATCCAATCAATCCCTACATCCCTTAGATCTGTCCCCACCCCCACCTTTTGAAAATAAACCTCTGCTACTGTGTCTTAGTTCTTAGGGCAGTACTGCATCTCTTAGCCAGATTTTTGGGATAGGCATCTGAACCTGATCTCTTTCCCTACGTAATTTCTGCAGCCTTTTGGAGGTGCCAGTTCTGTTTAAAATTGTTACCAGTGCTTCTCTTATTTCACACAGTATAACTTGTATATCACACAGAGGCCCTTGTTTTGGCAGCTTCTTCCTTCTTCACCTCCCCAACCCTTCAGTTCTTAATCCCCTGAATACTACAGACCTTTGGAATTGCACATTAATCAGTATGAAACATATCTGCCCTGCTAATGGTTATTCATTCTTCAGGAGCCAACTCAAATACCAGTTTCCCCTATTTCCCTGAAGAATTAGTTCTGCCTTTTTCCTGAGGCCTAGGACATTATATATATATATATATAAAGACTGTACTCTCTCATACATATATATATGTATCTCTAATATTTACATCATTGTGAAGAATGAAACTTCTATTAAACATTGCATCTGTCATATTAAGCTTTGAAGTCTTCCAAATAAAGTATGACCAGTTCCCCTCTGCCTCAAATACTCATTTATTTGAAGTTCACATTTTTTTCAAGATCTTCAAATCTGTAAATATAATAAAGGATCTTGGAAATCAGTGTGCTTTCTTAGTTTTCAGTTCTTAGTTTACTTTTAAATTCTGTTGTAGAATCTTAGAACCAAACTTTGAGCCTGGGATCACTAATATTTACATAATTCATTCAATATCTGGAGAGGTTCCCCAGAGTTGAGGTACATTTCTTTATTCTTTAGCCTTGGAAATACAGAGATTAAAAACTATAACTAGAAATGCTTTTTGTTAATTGGATTAAAATAACTTGATTACCAGGGTTGCCATCTTGAATTCTTTATAATGAAAATGTAAGTTTTTCTTTAAAGTTTATTTATTTTGGGGGGGGAGGGGGGGGGACAGAGGTCCCAAAGCGGGCTCTTCACTGACAGCAGACAGCAGGACTCGAACTGAAACCACGAGAGGATGACCTGAGCCAAAGTTGGACACTTAATCGACTGAGCCACCCACGCACCCCGAAAGTGTCAATTTTTAATCTTAACCCTTTTGCATATATATCATGATATTGTTCCATTGATCTCATGATAATGCTGGAATATTCAGATTTTCTCTCAATATTTCAGAAAATCGGTGCAGGTATTACTGGAGACGAAGGGTTCTTTGACCTGGTAAGCCGATTTCAGAGCAATCGGATGGATGATCAGAGGTGCTGCTTACAAGAACAGAGCTGCGGGACTGCTTCAGCTGCGGCTTCTTCCACTCCACCTCGAGTGATGATGAAAGGTGAGTGATCTGTGCTTCTCCCCCAATTTTAGTAGTTCCCTTTGATATTCTTGTGATTTCTTTCTGAGAGTTTAGTTCTCATCAGAGCAGGTACAGTAAATGAGCCTGAATCCAGGTGTATCTGAAATGCTGGTATTTCTTCAGTTCGAAACAAGGTTTTGTTTCGGTTTCCCTAGGTTTATCTGTATTGTAGTCCAGGTACTTTCTACTAACTATATCCTCCCTAGATTCTTTGGGACTAGAGGGAAAAAAAAATCTAACTTTAAAAATAGGAAAAAATTTAGTTATAATTCTATGTAAAAGACAAATGCTTTCTGTCTGGATTAAAAAGAAAAGCCAAGACAGACTGAAGAGGAACCTCTAACTCAGGCTGAAGCTAAGGCCTGCCTGAGCCTTAGAAAGGTCTAAAATGGATTACCTAAGATTTTCTCTTTCAGCTACCAGAAGATTTCCTCTGTAGACCAGGACTTAGCAGCAATAGTTTAAGTTAGCTAAGTGGTTCCCATGCAGGGCAGAGAATAAAAACAGTCTCATTCATCCTCACGTGAGAAATTATGTAAGAGAGATTATTTACCTTCTGAAATCTAGCCCAAGATCTTGTAAAGTTACATTTTGAGCAGGTGGTTGATAAAAGGAAAGATAGTCAAATCTGAATAACCTCCAAGTGAATCACCTGAAGTATTCTGGGATTTATTCTTCCCTCCCTGCCCATCTGGTCAGGCCCCAGCCTCTCAGAGCTAAAGCAGGAGGCAGTGGATGTTGGGACTGAAAAAGGCAGAAAGAACTAGATGTATATTAAAAATATGTTTAAATATTTTCATAATGTTTGGGACTTTTTTCCCCTGTTCATAGCACCGTCTGTTTCCGTGGTGTCCCCCAACACAGATGAGTTTTTAGACCTTCTTGCCAGCTCACAGAGCCGTCGTCTCGATGACCAAAGGGCCAGTTTCAGTAATTTGCCAGGGCTTCGTCTGACACAAAACAACAATAAGTCCGTACTTGGCCACTTGATGACTAATGACAACAAAGAGCCTGATGAAGACTTCTTTGACATCCTTGTAAAATGTCAAGTATGTATGCATATTTTTGTTGGTCTGTGTGTAGCTCAAATGCTGTTGAGAGCTTTGGCAGTATTTTGATTATAATTTGGGAAAGGCTCATTTTGTATTAGGGACACACTTATCATTTAGGGATCCTTCAGACACTATAGATCCCTGTGATAGCTTCTTATTTTGTATTTTGGGTGGTAAGGTAAGGTGTTGCTGATGCCTCTCTCTGACCTGTGGTGGAGAGGAGACTGAAGGGCATTGGGAGGAGACCTAGAAAAGAGCTCCGCTTTCTTGAATGTTAGTATCGGGAGCAACCAGTGATTAATATGGGGAGAATCTAGCTGGGGCCCTTTATGCTGTTGAGAGCTTTAGGAGAAATGAGATAGCTTTCATTTTTTATTTTAATAATTTTTTGCCACAATGGTTAAGGAATACCTCAGATGGCTTGAACACGACCATGAGAAAAATAATCCTTATTTTCACTAAAGAGACATTTCCACTGCCTGACCCTAGTTCTGTGTCTGTTTTTTCATTCATAAAAAGAGGAGAGGATGATACGTACTACCAACTTCTCATTTATTCAGCAAAAAAAAACTGAGCACTTACTATGGAGATATCATACTTGCTTTTAAAGTTTTTTAGTTACTATTTTTGAGAAAGAGGGAGAACCTGAAGCAAGCTCCACACTGTCAGCATAGAGCCTTAACATGGGGCTCAAACTCCCAAAACTGTAAGATCATGACCTGAGTCAGATGCTTAACCAACTGAGCCACCCACGTGCCCTGCCATGTACTTGCTTTTTAAGGATCCTATGTGTTAATGGGAGAGACAATAAGTAAGTCTCTGCGCATGTAGAGATAGATACTATATGACAGGTACTGATAGTTGCTATAAAGAAAATTAGAGCCAGATAAAAGGGTGGGGTAGCCAGGGGTGGTGGTGGTTAGGGAAGATGTTCTTGGATTGACAGATGAACAGAGATCTGAATAAGGTGAAATAGCCATGTGAATATTTAGTGAAATAGCATTCTATGCAGAGACAAGTCCCTTCTTGGATATAAAAGCTTAGCAGGTTCAAGGAATGGCAAGGTGGCCAGTGTGACTGGCATGGAGTAAATAAAGGGTAAGGGAGAGTGGTAGGGGATAAGGATAGAGAAGTAACCAGCCTAGATCTTATGATCTTATAGGCCATGATGAGGTCTTGTGTTCCAGATGTGATAGGAAGACACTGGAGGGTCTGAAAGATCATCCTGTCTACTGCTGAAAGCATGTGGAGTGGCAAAGGCTGTTAGTAGGAGAACCAGCTAGAAAACCAATGTGGTAATTCAGGCAAAAGATATGACTTTGACTAGTGTGGTGGTAGTAGCGATGATAAGCAGTCAGAACAGGGATATATTTTGAAGTTATGGTCGATTGGCAAGACCTGTTAATAAATCAGATGGTATAAGAAACAATCAAGAAGGGCTCCTGCCTTTTTTGCTTTGAATAACTGTTGTCAGTGGATGGTGCAGTTTACTAAAATAGAGAAGTTGAGAGGAGAAACAGGTTTGGGAAGAAAAAGCAGGAGTTCTACTTTCGGTATGTAAATTTGAGTTACATAAATAGGTATTTAAGTGGAGATGTTGAGTAGACAACTGGATATAAAAATCTGGAGCCCCTGGGGGGCTCAGGGTGTGATGCTTGCGGTCATGAGATCAAGCCCCCTTCACACTCGGCGCAGTCTCTGCCCCTCCCAGGCTCATCCATACTCATTCTCCCCTCCTTCCCCCAAAAAACCTATAGCCCCAGAGAGAAATGACTTTGGGAGTCGTCAGCATATAGCTGGTATTAAAGTCCCAGGAAGATACTACCTAAAGAATAGATACTGAAACAGGAGGACTAAGCCCTGAGCATTCCAAAATCTACCTGAATAGAGGAAGATGAGCCAGCAAAGCAGCAGTCAGCCTGGAGAGTGGTAGAAGCAAATCGAAGAAAATGTTTTAAGGAATGTTCAACTGTGTCAGACACTGCTGAGAAGCCGAGTAAGATGATGACTGATCTACTAGCTTTGGCAATGTGGAGATTATTAGTCATTCTGAAAGATACTGTGATGGGGACAAAGGATTGAGGGGGTTGAGAAAATGGAAAGTGTTAAAGGGGAGACAGTAAACAAAACTTTCAAGGGATTTTCAAAGAGTTAAAGATGAAGTATATAGAGGTTGGTTTTTTTCTTATTTTGGGAGTTAATACCTCATGTCTGCTGATGTAAATGATCAAGTAGAGGGAGGAACCAGTGATGCAGCAGAGTATGTGTGTACAAATTTGGAGGTAGGTGCAGGTAGGAATTCTCTGGTTTTTCTTTTCTTAGCAAAGTAAGAAGTAGGGCCGTTAACAGAGATTGGGGTTGGAGCATTGTAATTTTGAAGAGAATAGAACATAGTTACTTTGAGAAACCGAAAGTATGTTGACCAGCAAAAAGTAATAGGATTATTGAACTACGCTGAGGATTCCTTCGAAGTTCACAGTCACTGAAGTAAGTACAGTGATGTATTTTCTCAAGGCATAACCAGCTACTTAAGGATAGAGATTTAATCAGGGTCAGTAATTTGATAGACTAGGATAGAGGAGGAGAGAAGCACATGCCAGGAAATGATTTTAATAATGGACTTTGGAACCTAGGCTGCATCTAAGAAAGGAGGTAGGAAAATGAAGGGTATGGAAGTGACAACTGTCAGTAATCCTGGTGGCTTTAATAGTGAAGACCTGGGGCAGCTGAGTCAGTTAAGCATCAGACTTCGGCTCAGGTCATGATCTCATGGTTTGTGAGTTCAAGCCCTGTGTCAGGCTCTGTACTGATAGCTCAGAGCCTGTTTTGGATTCTGTGTCTCCCTCCCTGTCTCTCAAATAAACATAAAAAAAAAAAAATACTTAAATCCTAGTAACAGGCCATCAACATAAAGAAAAGAAAAAATTGACAGAACTGAAGGGAGAAATTGACATTTCTATAAAAATAGCTGGCGATTTCAAGACTCTCCACCCCAGTGATAGGTAGGACAACCAGACAGATGATGAACAACACAATAAATCAGCTAGTTCTCACAGAATACACATTCTTCTCAAATGCATATGGGACATTCTCCAGGATTGACCATGTTAGGCCACAAATTCTCAACAGTTTTATTTTTGAGACACAGAGCATGAGTGGGAGAGGGGCAGAGAGCGAGGGAGACACAGAATCCGAAGTAGGCTCTGAGCTGTCAGCACAGAGCCAGACATGGGGCTGGAACTCACAAACTGCAAGACCATGACCTGAGCCAAAGTCATATGCTTAACCAACTGAGCCACCCAGGTGCTGCAAGTCTCAACAATTTTAAAAGATTAGATACCATACAAAGTATCTTCTCCACATCTCCACAACAGGATGGAGTTAAAATAATAAGGAGGGGCACCTGGATGGCTCAGTTGGTTGCGCATCCGACTCATGGTTTCATTTCAGGTCATGATCTTGTGGGTTCAAGCCCCGTTCTGGGCTCTGCACTGAAGGTGAGGAGTCTGCTTGGGATTTTCTCTCTCCCCCTCCCCTGGGTCACACTGTGTCTCTCTACATAAATAAAACTTTAGAGAATTCCCAAATTTGTGGAAATTAACCAGTGGATAGAGAGGAAAACACAAGGGAAATTAGAAAATACCCTGAGACTGATAAAAATGAAAATACAATATCCTAAAACCTTGGGATGCAGGGAAGGCAGTACTCGGGGGGATATTTAGAGCTGCAAATGCTTATGTTAAAAGAGGAATATCTCAAATCAACAACCTAGTTTTTTATAGCTTAAGGGGTTAGAAAAAGAACAAACTAAACCTAAAACTAGCAGAAAGAAGGAAATGAAGAACAGAAAAAAAAAATCAAATCCAAAAGCAGGTTAGTTAAAAGGTTTACCACAACTGACAAAGGCTCAAATTACTAAAATTACAAACAAAAGTAGGGACATCACTTCTAATTACAGAAATAAAAAGAATTTGTAGATAATACGTGAATACTTATAAGTTGGATAACCTAGATGAAATGGACAAATAACCAGAAACAAAATCAGCCAAGACTTAATCATGAATAGAAAACAGACTCATAATCTATAAGGATACTGTATCAGTAATCAAAACCTCCCAACAAAGAAAAGCCCTGGACCTGCTAGCTTCACTGGTGAATTCTACCAAACTGAAAAGGAATACTTTCTATTCCTAAGTCATTTTGTGAGGCCAATATTGCCCTGATAACAAAGCCAGACAAGGCACTACAAGAAAACTATGTGTCCAGTATCCTTTTTGAATATAGATACAAAAATCATCAATAGAATACTAGCAAACAGAATCAAATGGCATATTTAAAAGATTATGCACCATGCCTAGGTGGAATTTGTTCCTGGAATGCAAGGATGGTTCAACATAGGGGAATAATCAATGTAATATATACACTACATTAATAGAATGAAAGAGGGGGGAAAAAAAACACCTGATCATCAAACCTGATGCAGAAAAAGCATTTGACAAAATTCAACACATTTTCATGATAAAAACACTCAACTAACTAGGGATAGTAAGAAACTACCACAACGCAATAAAGTCACTTATGAAAAACCTATAACTACCATCATACTCAATGGTAAATGACAAAAGCTTTAAAAGCAGGAATAAGACAAAGATGCTCATTTTTTACCGCTTCTATTCAAATGGTACTGTAAGTTCAAGCAGAGCAATCAGGCAAGAAAAAGAGAGAAAAAGCATCCAGATAGGACAGAAGTAAAATTATCTCTGTTCAGAAAGGAGTCTTATGTGCAGAAAATCCTGAAGATTTCACCAAACAAACAAAAACACCCTGTTAGAACTAAGAAACATGGGGCGCCTGGGTGGCTCATTCGGTTGAGCGTCCAACTTCAGCTCAGGTCATGATCTCACAGTCTGTGAGTTTGAGCCCCGCGTCGGGCTCTGAGCTGAGCGCTCGGAGCCTGGAGCCTGCTTCCGATTCTGTGTCTCCCTCCTTCTCTGTCCCTCCCCCACTCACGTGCTCGCTCCCTCTCTCAAAAATAAACGTTAAAAAAAAAAACATTCAAAATAACAGGGTACAAAATTAATATCCCAAAATGAGCTGTGTTTCCATACACTAACAGTGTTAACAGACCAAAAAGGAAACTAAGAAAACCTTCCTAAAACAGCATCAGCAGGAATGAACTTAACCATGGAAGTGAAAGACTTGAACAATGAAAAGTATAAAATGTTTCTGAAAGAAATTACATAAATGGGAATATTGTTAAAATGCCAGTACTAGCCAGAGTGTAATCTATGGGTTCACATAATGCATTCCTTATCAAGATGTAAATAAGGTATTTTACAGAACAGAAAATTCCATCTTGAAATTCCTATAGAATCTTAGGGGAACCCAAATAACTGAATCTTGAGCAAGCAGAACAAAGTTGGAGGACTCCCACTTCCTGATTTCAAATTCTGCAAAGCTACAGTAATCAAACAGTATGGTACTGACATGATGACAGACATATAGACCAATGGAAAAGAGAGCCCAGAAATAAATCCTTGAATGTGTCTTCAGATGATTTTCCACAAGTGTGCCAAGACTATTAAATGGGGAAAGGAGTCTCACCAACAAATGCTGCTGGGAAAACTATCCACATGCAAAATAATGAAGCTGGGCCCTTACCTAACACCATATGTAAAAACTGAGAATGGATCAGAGACCTAAATGTAAGAGCTAAGACTTTAAACTTATAGAAAACATAAGAGGAAAGCTTCAAGATTTTGGATTTGGCAGTGATTTCTTAGTTATGAGACCTTAGTTATGAGGCACAGGCAACAAAAGAATAGACAAACTAGACTTGATCAAAGTTTAAAACTTTTGTACATCAAATGACACTATCAACAAAGTAAAAAGGCAACCCACAGAAGATACTTGCAAAACATATAATCAATAAAAGGATTAATTCAGAATATAGAGAACTCTAAAACTTAACCACAAAAAAAGAAACAAAAACCCTACTCCAAAAACGGGCAGAGAATCCAAATAGATATTTCTCAAAAGAAGATCTACAAATGGCTAATAAACACAGGAAGAGATGCTCAACATCACAAATTAGAGAAATGCAAATCAAAATCATAATGAGATACCATCTCATGAACCCATTGGGAAGCTACCATTAAAACAAAAAATAAAAAAATGGGTGCCTGGGTGACTCAGTCAGTTAAGCATCCCACTTCGGCTCAGGTCATCTCACAGTTCACAAGTTCAAGCCCCAGGTAGGGCTCTGTGCTGACAGCTTGGAGCCTGGAGCCTGCTTCAGATTCTATGTTTCCTTCTCTCTCTCTGCCTCTCCCCCACTCATGCTTGGTCTTTCTTTAAACAATAAACATTAAAAAAATTAAACAGTTGGCAAGGATGTGGAGAAATTGGAACTGTCGTGCACTGCAGGTGGGAATACAAAATGGAGGAGCTGCTATGAAAAATGGTTTGGTGATTCCTCAAAAAATTATTAAAAAACAGAACTATCATATGATCCATCAATCTCATTTCTGGGTATATACCCAAAACAGTTGAAAGCATAGATATGAGCAGATATTTGTATATCTACCTTCAGGCAGCCAGCATTATTGACAATAGCCAAAAGGTAGAAGCAACCAAGTGCCCATTGGCAGATGGATAAATAAAATGCGGTGTGCATGTACAATGGAGTATTTTTCAGCCTTAAAAATGAGGGAAATTCTGACACAGGTTACAACATGGCTCAAGACATTATGCTGAGAAGTAGGCAGTCACAAAAGGACAAATACAGTTCCACTCACATGAGGCAAAGTAGATTCACAGAGACAAAGAATGGTGGTTACCAGGGGCTGGAGAGGGGAGGATGGGAGCTACTGTTTTGGTTTTGCAGAATGAAAATGTTCTGGAGATGGATAATGCTGATGACTGCACAGCGGTATGAATGTGCTTAATACCGAACAGTACACTTAAAAATGGTTAAAGTGGTAAACATTGTTTTACCACAATTTAACAAAAAATTCCTGGGGGAGTACTCTCTAGCCTGATCTGGAAAATTGGAGGTGGCAGTCAACATGAGATGTTTGAAATCCTGATTTTCAAGACAGTGCAGTTATTGAGAATGACCAAGTCTGGCCTATGACGATGGGAGCTTAATGGATAAGGCAGAGGTGAAGACTGGAGACCAGAGGAGAGGAGGTCTAAGGTGTGAAGTACCGAAATGTTGGATGAATTGGAGGACAATGAAATCACCCCAACTTAAAGACGAGAAATGAAGAAGCAGGAGCCAGGTGTGTGGGTGGTGGGGGGCTGCTGGCAAGGCGGCCACTGAGAGTCACAGGGCTGGCTGTGGGGCGAAAGGTTAAGGCATATAAATGCATGGTGCCCAGCAACATAGTAGGCACTCAAATGTCAGCTGTCACAGTCCCACTCTGGAGCTACAATACCAAATACTATACTATACACATTTAAATGCTTATATTTTTTATTTGATGGGTAACATTTGTAATGTACTTCTAAAAGAAGAATCAGAAGTTAGAACTTCAAGGAAAAAAATCTGGCTTGTTTCTTTAACAGATTTAAATGTTTAAGATAGGGCGAGGCGAACTTTCTGTACAAGGCTACATAGAAAATATTTTAGGCTTTTCAGGCCCTTACAACTGCTGGACTCTGCCAGCCGCACTTAATTCGTAATTAGTAGACACATGAGTATTGTGGTGAAACGGAAAGGAAACTTTATGCACAAAACAGGCAGCAGGTTATGGTTTGCTGACCCCTGACCTGACACAGTAGTGCTGCAGGGGTTTTATATATAACATTGTATTTCTAAGGATTGGTAAGTTGTCAGTGCCTATTATGTAAGATTTGACCTTGTATCTTAAGTAATCTTACCAAAGTCTTGAGCTTATGGCTATACTTCTACATAGTACTTGTTATGTTCTGATTATGTAAGTCTTTGAAAAGGTTTTATTAGGTTTCAGGTCTAAAGATTAAATTTCTGAGACAAGGCAAAAAAAAATTTTTTCTTGTGATGACAACATAATGTAACCTGGTGTTCTCCTTCCCTACAATATTTGTGTCTCAATCTCTCTCATAAATTTTCAGGGGTCCAGATTAGATGATCAAAGATGTGCTCCACCACCTGCCACCACAAAGGGACCAACAGTACCAGACGAGGACTTTTTTAGCCTGATTCTACGTTCTCAGGCGAAAAGAATGGATGAACAGAGAGTTCTTTTACAAAGAGATCAAAACAGAGACGCTGAATTTGGGCTGAAAGACATTTTGCAAAGTAATGCTTTGTTGGAATTTAAAAATACAGGAAAAAAATAAACCACTAGTTATTACGGATATATTTTTTTTAAACGACCTTATTTCCTTTCAGAACACTGCAGGGAAACTTTTTTTCCTTAAAAGGAGAAATTATAGCACTGTAATACAGCTTAAAATGTTTTTAGAATGATGTAAATATTTAACCTTTAATAGTATAGCATTAATTCACATTTCTCTGGACACTCACTTGTTTCAGGGTGGAGGTGTCTTATACAAGGTGCTTCATCAACTTTTTTGAATAATGCTTGGGATTGTGTTCTTTGGCAACTTTTTAGATTCCTTTACGTAGTGTTTGTAAAGTGATAATTTTTTTTAACTCTTGATGGCATTTTTTAAACACTGAACCGTGGAAACAGTAAGAAATTAGGCTGTTTAGTAAACAATAACATACTTGACCAATGTGTAAAAAAGTTATATAGTCTTTATTAAAAGAATCTAGATCTTTTTTCTGCTAAAAATCCTATTTTCAGTATGTTATTAGTTCAAACCCATTATAAAAACTCTAAGAAATAAACTTTTAGCATGTTCTGGACCCTTGAATTTTAAAGTGTGTGTGGCTTAAAATTGTATCTTCTGTTGCAAAATACTGTTTAAGACCTAATATCAAAAAACAAAAAACCCCAAACTCCTGTGGTTGTATCAAGAACCTAGGCCATGAAAATAGAGAACACATGAAAACACACAAAATTTAAGTATGAAAGATGTAGGTTAAGCTCTCAGTCGTCATTAAGCCTCCCTTCATCTCAGGAACTGAAGGCAGTTTACAAGGGTACACAATACAACATGACAGGAAGTAAATTTAGCAAAAGACAGCAAGGATGGGACAGGCTAAGGCTGAACTGTAAAATGCAAATGCCCACACCCAGAACTCATTCACCTCTGGTTGCTTTTGATTCTGCACAGCTGGGATGGTATCTGGGGCTCTGGGCCTCTGTCCTTTCTCAAAGTCCTTCAGGTGACTTGATGGGCAGTGAGAATCACTTCTCCAAATGGCCAATATTCACAAAAATAAAACAGAAGAAAGTTACTCGATCTGGAATCACATTAAAGGCTCAGGAAAAAAAAAAAAGTATTCTTGGTTCTACGATCAGACAAATTTTGTCAAAAGTACTCTGTTAACACCTGGATCACTTTATGATGTATATATTATATATAGGATATAATGTCATAGATAGCATCCTTTTAAAACCTGTATGTAAGTTTCATGGGTTTTTTCTTATAAGCATATTCAATGAGCAAAGACAGCATACCAAACCACAATAATGTAAAATAAGTATTTTGTGTATACTGTAGTTAAGAGCCTGTAAACATTCATTATTCCATTTAAAAACTGCTTTTAAAAAGCTGTATACCCTACTGATTCTCCTAAAAGCCTGTTGCTACAATTCTTGATTTTGATAAATATGAGCTGGACAATAAACAAGCCTATTACTCCAAGTTCTAGACTGCCCTTGATCTGTTCAGTTTGCTTTAATTAGTCTTCCCTATTTGCTGTCATTCGACAGCAGTTGAATGTATGTTGCTTTGCTGTCAAAGTGGACTGCATCCCCCAACAGTTATCTGTAATGAAAGAATACAAAGACGATATTTTAATTTTTTACAGACTCGTTTTTAGATAAAAAGGAGTTCAAACAGCATTAACTCCACTCTCATTGTTACAGTCTGTCGCCTGAGGCATTCGATACTCTTTAGAGTCTAATCACAGCTCAAAGGACACCTAACCACCCTAGGTGCATATTTACCAACTAGCATAAACAGGTCTGGCCCTCAAAGAGGCTTTTTTTCAATGTTTATTTTTCAGAGGGGGGGAGAGAGAGAATGAGCAGGGGAGGGGCAAAGAGAGAGAGAGCGAGGGAAACACACAATCTGAAGCAGGGTCCAGGCTCTGAGCTGTCAGCACAGAGCCCGTGCAGGGCTTGAACTCACAAACTGTGAGATCATGACCTGAGTTGAAGTCAGACGCTTAACCAACTGAGCCACCCAGGTGCCACAAGAGAGGCCTTTATATGTATTGATGTTCAAAAATCCCCAAACTGCAGGCATCCTTTGCATTAGTTCATATATTACATACCTACTATGTTACAAATTTTTATACAAAATTCTGTTGTATTGGGGGGGGGGGAATACTACCTTTTTGATGAAATACTAAAGATGTTTGCAAGATTAAACTAGAAAATAGTATTAACGTTAAATTTGACACCCTCTTGCTGAGGTAAGTTTTTAAAAATCTTGACAGTGGCATTTTTTAGTATTTGACCAGGGATGTAGAGAGATTATGCTGTTTAGCAAAAATAATGTACTTGACCAATGTGTAAAGTACATATTGAAATAGAGCTATTCTCAAAGTCTACGGACTATGTAAAACCCAGATTACCGACTTAAGCTGTGCTAATAACTCAATTCTCCTGGCAATCTTCAGTTCTTAGCTGAGGGTAAAGTTAAGATAGGTGGCCAGGAAGCGGGCCCAGTCATCGCTGGGAGAGTTGAGAGATGGAGATGGGATAGGGAATGACAAAGCCATGATGAGCTAAGGCAGCCTACACAGAGACAAACGGACACACACTCCATGGCTGCATGAAGACACCGAAGTGCATGACGAGAGTAAACTTGACCACAGTGGACTCTCCTTAAAAACTATTTTTGGGTACTCCCACTTGCAGAAACATATCGAATCCAATGACAACAAATTATTAACTAAGGTAGGTGTCCTCGGGCTTCTCCGCTAGGCACCACGCACGTTGGCTAGTTGGTTCCTATCTAAGCCTGTGAACCATCAACTTTTTCACTGTCCCCTGAATCAAACTGACCTCTTTATTTGAAATCAGTGATACTTGCCATGTGTTCATCGATGAGATCCCGTTCCAAAATTAACACTTTAAAACTTTTTGGGAGGTTTCAATATGAAAATGAAATTACACTGACAAAAGATTAAAAACTAAACAGAAATACATGTGTATTCATTCGTCCTGATGGTCAATAAAAATGTTAATGTAGAAGTTGGCACCTGTATAGTAAATGTCAGAATATGTGTAGAGAAGAGTGCACGGTTGTGAAGAGTATACTTTACAAAACCCAAAGATGACCTTGGAGCTGTGGTCCGAGTCTGTGTTCCTCTAGCCACATGGGCCAGCATCCAGGTCCTTTCCACAGCTGGCGGGGCTGGATGCACCACCGCCTTCCTCTGGGCTGCCTCTGGCCTCGGTCCTGAGCTGGCCCTTTTCCTCCGCAGATGTACCTTCCACCTTCTCTGATGTCTCTGCACCAGCGACGGGCTTAGTGGACTGGCTGCTTTCAGTGCTGCTTTCTGGCAGTGTGCTTTCTCCTGGGATTCCAATCTCTTTGGGCTTTGCATCCAAAACAGGAAATTTATGCTGTAGAGAATTACATTTTAATTGTTTAATTAATGCAATCAAACATGTTTAACAAGTTCCTATGCAAATCTGTTGTATCAAACTTGGAACTCTTTCAAATCTCAGCTCCAGTGCTGTACTGTAAGGATACAGATGTTATTAAGCCTCACAGAACTATACACGGAGGAATGGGGCAGGGGCACGGAGGATATGGCAGGTGGTCTAGTGACCCAGGTTTAGGAAGGGACAAGAGGACTGGTAAACAGTACTGCTAACTCCTCTTGCCTGGTGAGAGTAATTCATTTGAATTATTTATTAAGTCTGTATTAAGTTCTATGTGCTGGGGATACAGCAGGTACAAAACCGACAAAACCTGCGCCCTCACTGGAACTTCCAATTAGCTTGGGGGAAAGAAGCAACAAATTAACAAACTACACACTGGGTTTACATCAGGTGATACAGGAGTAAAGGCCTGAAGAAATGAACCATGTGAATATGCGGGAATGGCCTTCTAGACGGAACAGCAAGTACAAAGGTTGTAAGTTCACGGAATAGTGAGGAGGCTCCTGTGGCTGAAGGAGAGTAAGCACAGCAGGAGAGCAGGAGGAGAAGAGATCAGTGTGCCAACAGAGCCGGGCTGTGGGCAGATCAAGGGAGCCCCGGGTCACCATGATAACTAGCTTTCCCTTTAAGTGAGATGGGAAGTCACTTGAGGCTTGGGATGAACGGTATCTTACCATTACCTATTAAAGCTGAAAGGCACATCTGAAAATTTTCTAGATGTACGCAGGTATGTTTATTCTTCTTATAAGAAACTCCATGGAAGGGATTCTATAATTTCCTAGATTCTGCACTCACAGCTATTTCTCAAAGGTTTACAGTTGCAACTTGAACTTTGCAAATGACAACTATAAATTCCTCTCACAAACAGAAACGGCAATGTCTCTTCAAATGGCCCATAATGTAGAGAAAACACCTCAAAATTCGGCAGGTAGAAAGTAGACTCTAGCCAGCCAATGATACCAAAGACTTGGGAAAGTGTGGTGTGGCCCCTCCCCGCCCACTCTTCCGCCCAGCTGAGCCTTTAGGGCTCTCCTGCGGGCTCCCCAGGGCTCTAGGCCTTCAGTGGGGACTTCTCTCTGAGCTCTTTACGGGTAGAAATTTTAGTCATGCTCGCTCGGTTTCCTAATGAAATTTCCTATGAACTACCACCTGTTCTAACTTGTTAAATAGTACTTTACATAAAAATCAAATCTAGCTTTATCTCTTCTGAGAAGGCCAAACTTTTGACTAGAAAGGAGGAGAGAGTAAACAATTATATCAATAACGATATAATTAACTGTGAAAGTTAAGAGAGGAAAAAACGCTTAACCAGAAGCTCTGTAGGAAGCACTCAGGCCTAGCATGACAGGACGGCAAAATGAACAGTTGCTGACTTACACTGGGTACCGCCTTGGGATGCTCTCTCGCCTCTGCGTCTGGTAAATCACATGCCCGGAGCACTTCGGGGCTCTTGTTGCCAGTCTTAAGTCTCAAGTCAACATCTGTCTGTCTCAAAACATCTCTTCTACCCTCATATGTTTTGTCATAAGGGCCTTGCTCAACGGGGCCGATCGGGCCTCTATAATAGAAATCTGTATCACCTGCTCCACCATGGGGTCTATAATCAACTTCCTTCTGCCGTCCTCTGTCACCTGGCTCAAGTGCCCGGGGTGGTTCTCTCTCGGGACCACTTATTTGTCTCAGCATATTAACTGATTTTCCAGCACCATAGCAGAAACTCTAGAAGGAAAAGAAATACATAGTCCTGAGTATTTAATGGCTGACTCACAATGAAATTATTCAGGATGCTAACAAAATTACCTAACTTGACTTGTGACATTTGGAGACGTATTCATTTCACTATTGTTTCATTAGAGATCTCTTCTTTAGATTAATACTGGGCCAGAATAGCCAATAAAATGTGAGAAATCACATTTAAGTAGACATTTCAATCAGCTGAACACATTCTGAATGAATTGTCCCAAGGGAAGTTTGGCTAAAGTCTAGAAACTTCAATTGGAAGGTACTAACTGATAACTGCTCATCAGTTGTCTATTTTCACACCCACCATATAAGGTAATTGCTAAAAGTCAGAATTGCACATCATTATGGAAACATTCTCAGGTAGGGTAAGTTTCCAACAGGCTT